CTGACCCTAAGGCCTCTTCAGGCTCACAGGTTCTCACTAAACTTCCCAAAAAGTCAGACGGTTCCTTCGACCCGCCTCCTTCATCTGGGAGCCGTGATAGACTCTCTAAAGTGCGAGGTTTACCTCTCTCCAGAGCGTCAAGACAGCATTCGGACCTTGGTCAGGCAGATCCGAAGGAAACTAGTCACCACACTGGCCATACTCTCACACCTGCTGGGAAAGATGATCTCATGCTTAGCAATCGTGCCCTAGGCATGACTACACTACAGGGACCTACAATGGTTCCTGCTTCCATTTCAAAAGATAGGAACCGGTTCCTCCAACCAGAAAGTAAGGGTGCCACCAAGGGTTCTGAAGTCGCTCCAGCGGTGGTTGTCCCCATCAATAAAAAAGGGACACATATTCAAGGAACCCAACTGAGTCATACTGACCACGGATGCCAGCCTGTTCAGCTGGGGAGCACATCTACAATCACAAATGGCTCAGGGCCAATGGTCCAAGGAGGACTTAAGACACAACATAAACTGGTTGGAGCTCAGAGCCATACACTTGACTCTCCGCCACTTCCAGAACACGGTGGCGGATCAGCACGTGCTAGTGCTCATGAACAACGTGGCGAAAGCCCATGTCAACCGACAGGCACACGGTCCAAATCCCTCATGACCAAGGCCCAATTGATGGGAACATGGGCAGAAAACAAACTAGCCTCTCTCAGGGCCGAACATATATCAGGAGAGGCAAATCAACAAGCGGGCTTTCTGAGCAGGGCAACAGTAGACCACTCAGAGTGGAGACTGCATCCAACTCTCTTCCGGGAGGCATCAGAGAGGTTCGGCCATCCGGTGCTGGACCTATTCACCAGCCCCAGAAATACTCAGCTCCCGAGGTTCTTCTCCCGCTTCCCGTTACGGGGCGCAGAGAGAGCAGACCCGCTCCAGGGACAGCGGCCAAAGAGACTGCTGTACGCCTTCCCACCTCTCCCCCGATGCAGGCAACCAGGAAGATATTGCAGGAGCAAGCAGAGGTGATACACATCGCGCCACACTGGCCAAGATGACTGTGGTTTGCCGACCTCGTAAGTCTTTCGGTCTTAACCCCATGGAGGATTCCCCAAGACCAAATTTCACTCAGACAAGGAACTCTACAACACCCAAAGCCGCAGTGGCTCCAACTAGCGCCTGGCACTTGAACGGAGCCTCCTAGAAAGGGAGGCCTATTCACAAAGAGTCATCAAGACGATCCAGGCCTCAAGAAAGCCTTCAACCAACAGAATTTATGACTCCACATGGAGAAATTACTGCAGTTGGTGCGAAAAGCAGCAGCTAGATCCCTTCAGGATTACGATCCCAGGGGTCTTAGACTACTTGTGGGAGGGATTTGACAGGGGCTTAGCACCCAACATAATTCGCAGACAGGTGGCCGCTCTATCCACTATACTCACATATGGCAACTCTGAGCCACTGGCCAAACATCCAGTGGTGCAATCTTTCATAAGGGGCGCAACAAATAACAGACCTCCTGTGATTCACAGATATCCCTCCTGGGACCTACCTAGGGTCTTACAGGCCATCACCGCACCACCATTTGAACCTATCCGGGCATACACCTTGCAATACTTGACACTTAAGGTCACATTTCTCGTCGATGTAACCCCGGCGAGACGCATCTCAGAGTTGGCAGCACTATCAGCTAGAGAAGATCTCTGCACATTTCACAAGGATAGGGTGGTCCTACATCTGGATCATTCATTCATTCCCAAGGTCAACTCCTTATTCCACAGAGCTCAAGAGGTAGTACTACCAGATTTTTGTCCTCAGCCCTCCCATGAATTGGAATGCAAGTGGCACATCTTAGACGTTCGCAGGGCCTTAAAGCAGTACTTAAAGCGAACTGCTCCCTTTTGCAAATCTGAGTCCCTATTCGTATCCTTCCATTCACATTGTAGGGGTTGAAGGGTCACTGCTTCCACAATTGGCAGATGGATCAGGAATCGAATAGCAGAAGCATATCAGGGGCAATCGCTTTCAGTCCCTAGACAAAATCACGGCCCATTCCACTCGCAATGTTGCGACATCTGCAGCGTGGGCAACTCAGGCACTGGTTGAGGAGATATGTAGGGCAGTGACGTGGATGGCGCCTTCCCCTTTTATCAGACACTACAAGTTGGATAGATTCACATCAGCGGAGGCCTCATTTGGCAGGAGGGTCCTTCAAAGTGTAGTGTCAGAGAGTGGGACACAGGCCCAGACTGCTTCCCACCCACAGGGACAGTGAGGCTTGGGTATGTCCCATTAGTGGATTCTCCACTCGTCATGCTGGAGAAGGGGCGTTGTCTTACCTGAACGCCTTTTCTAAGCATGACGATGGAGAATCCACTCCCACCCTTAAGGCCAGTCAGGTCCTGTGTTGAGAAGAAAGTGAGCCAACACATTAAATCATAGTCAACAGCTTCGGCCTCAGTCGAGACTGGGAGTTGGTCTCAGGAAGAGGAGGCGTGGCGATTTGGTTGACTTAGTCTATATGAGTAGAAGAGAAGCAAAACCCATTGGTGGATTCTCCATCATCATGCTGAGAAAAGACGTTCAGGTAAGACAACGCCCCTTTTGATTGTTCTGTGTTTTAACTAAGAAAAAAAAGCAGAAGTGTCTTATGAGGTGTATATATATTAAAGGAGGACACACAAGGGCTTGTGTGAGGAGGAAGGAGATATTCAAGGGATTCAGTCTGACGTGGAGTCCGAGAACACTAATAATGGGGTGAAAGAGCAAGTAGATGTCAGACGGAATGGCAACGACAGAAACGGAGTTTATGCAGCCAAAGAGAGGGAAATGGAAAGCAAGGGATGGGGAGAAAGGCTGAGAGTGCGCCCCCATAGAATGAGGGATGACAATTGGGGAGCAAGTAAAGATCAGAAGAAGGAGGAAGGTAGGAGACACGGAGGTGTGAAGAGGGAACAACTTAGAGATACGAATGACCAAAAAAGGGGAGGAAAGAACCTTCCTAATTCAAGACAGTGGGAGGTAGAGGGGAATAATGACACACCCACAAGCAGTAAAAGCAAGAAAAGAGGAGTCATCAGTATGGAAGCCGTAATTAAAAAGCAGTTAAATCAATTAGGACCTAGGACAAGATCTAGGAGCCGTGTGCAAATGACGGCTCACCTATAAAGGCACTCTCCCACAGACCAGCATTAACCCTGACGATGTCAGAAGTATCTGACGAAAGCTCGGTGATCGGTGATGGTATTAAACTTTTATAGTTTATTATATTCCTGGTGTACGTATACACACACACACACACACACACACACACACACACACACATATACACGGCAAAGTCTCTCTTCCCTTATTCTTCCCTTTGAGTAGTTTTGCCACTGAGTTTGAATTCAAGCACATCCTGTCTATCTAGTTTTCTCCCCATATTTTTTCCTCCATAGCTGCTGTTGATGGCCTTGCTTTTCCCCCCACTATGGGAGACCTCCAAGAGGATACCCATACTTTGCATATCCCTATTACTGTGCTGTTACAAGAAATAACTTTAATTGTTTGTGAGAAACTGTTTTTCCCTGTCAGATACTCTCAAACTAATGGGATACAGATGTTATCTTAGTATTCCAGCACATCTGGAAAGCATCAAGTGGGGATGCTTGGTGTATCCCCAACTTGATGCTTTCTTAGTGCAGTTTTCGATGTGTAAACTCTGATTTGGGGTGACATGAAGTATACAAATTAGGGCTGTGATTTAAAACTTACTGCTGTAGCTTGAAAGAAATGTAAGATTTTAATACAGAAATGGGGCATTTTGCAAAAATAGTAGAAATTAACGATTTTTAATAAAGTATACTGATATCTGCAACCAAAATTCATATTGTACTGCAAGTTCTGCAGTATTATGATCATGGCTTACTAAAAGGTTTCTTGACTTTGATGTAGTAGTGGTTGTTTTAAAGCAAGCTGGAGTATGGGTTAGGTTTTTATTTTGATTTGCTTCTAATTATAATGAATGTTTTGCTTGGAGAGATGCCTTTAAGTTGCATGAAGTATATGAAGAGCTAGTTATAGTAATCATAATTTAAAAGCCTTAACCTTCATTCTGTATCTCATAAATTGAACTGAATGATTTAGTAAATGTAAGGTTGTTTGTCTTTATGCTAATATCACTCAGTCAATCTTTATGTTTAGCAGGATTTATATTGCCTGTCTGTTGTGGCCAAATCACAAACCCCAGTTCAATGCCATCAAATAGGAATTAGAAAAATCCACAAAAATCATTTGAAAAGATAGCAGTTTTTTAATTCATATTTTGCCATCTTATTGACTTTTGCATCAAATCTTTCCTATTGATAATAAAAATTGAAGGTGCAGTCTTTCCTTTAATATCTAATATATGACATGCAGAGTTTAATACAAGTTCATCTTGTTGGTATGTGATGTGCAATTTGTTTATTGACTGTTCTACTTGTGCAAACTTAATGTAGCATATTCTTTTTTTCAAACAAACTTCCGGAAATCAGTGTGTGTTGAAGCTGTATGGTGTCTCTTATGTAACAAAACATTGATTTTGAACATGGAAGTAAGCCAGAAAAATATGGGAAAGATGAAAGCAAGTATTGACATTTGTATATTTAGCTGGCCTTGTAGAACTTTGTACTGAATACATTGATCAAAAATTTCTGTGAGTCCAAGAGAATAATGGCAGATATTTCTGTATTCCAGTATCCTTCCCTCTTATGATAACATAAATTAATCACACAAAAATAAAAACTAGATTCTTTGTACATGAAGTACTTAAAATTGTTCATTCTTCCATGTACATGCTCCACAGTATTTCAGGACTGTACTTTCTGTTGAAATTAGGTGAGCTGTATTATAAGGGCTTTAAATAAAAATTTAATACAAGTCACTGGCAGTATGTTTACAGTTAGCTTAGATAAATGCATTGTCCTTCAAATTAGTTATTTCTGGCTTTATGTAATATAGCTCCTGAATTTTTTCCAGCAGCATAATAAAATGGCTAATCAGGTGAATGGTAATGCGGTACAGTTAAAAGAAGAGGAAGAACCAATGGATACTTCCAGTGTTACTCACACAGAACACTACAAGACACTGATAGAGGCAGGCCTCCCACAGAAGGTGGCAGAAAGACTTGATGAAATATTTCAGACAGGTATAATATGCATTTCTTGTTTTTGATTGGTTATAAAAGTGAAGGCAAAAAATATCAAATTTTTTAGGCTTTAAAGATGAAAAACTGCTGTATTTTGCACTGTGTAGCTTTGAATGTACTGCTGCTTTCACTTTGAGGTTGAATATATTGACAGTATCTTAGGTCTTTAGGACACTTTCATAGACTCTCACAAATAAAAGTGGACATTGCTGCCTACTGAACTGTAATTTTTTTCCAATATTACAATCATTTGCTTCTACTTTGCTACCATCATCAATTTATGGTGCTTAGGCTAAACATAATATTTCAGTAGGTGGTTTAAAGAGGGGAAGTAGCTTGTTTGGCTCGCTTTGGGGCTACATTTGAACTCTAGTCTATATGTTTGCCTATATCCTAGTGAATAGTTTTAATTTATTTAAGTCATTTTATTGAAGTATTTAGTTTTATGATCATTGTTTGAATTGTATTTTATCTTACTTGGAGCAAGTGGCTTGTGTATTTTAAAAAGAGAGAACACAAAAGAATTTTAGGATGCACATACCCTTTTGCTGTGAAAGGAGACAATTTCTCTTCTTTAGTTTGTGTGTGGTGAATATATTTAGATAAATAAATAGAATTCCTTCATTCCCTTGCTTCAAATATTTCAGAGAGAAGATTTAATTTGTCTTCTTTTTCTAAAGCCCTAAAATGTTTTGAAAGTTTAAGATAATTCAAAAGAATACCATGTCTGTCTTTATTATGATGGTATTTTGACTCGTGGTAATCTGTCTCGAAATACAGTCCAATGAATGTCTGATAAGGTAGTGCTGTCTCCTTAGAGAAGTACTTCTCTAGGGTTGAACTAAGCTGATATTCACATAGTGGCTTGAGTATAGTTGTTTGAAAAGGGAATGTGAAGATATAAGTTCATATTAAAACTTTACTGCCTGGCTTCAATATATTTGTAGAGATGTATCTTCATGTGTAAATTTTAAAATTTTAACCCACTTGGGTCTGTTAATGCAGTTGGATACTTCTCATTTCATGCCTAAATAATTAAAAAATATTTTCATGAGTTTTAATCATCTGAGGTTTGTCCATGTACAAGAGCTGCAGGGGCCTTTCACCATGCAGGATCAATTCTGAAATTGCAACCTCATGACACTGCTGTTATTTTTTGTGCTTTAGAGCAGTGTTTCTCAACCTTGACAATTTTAAGGCATGTGGACTTCAACTCCCAGAATTCCACAGCCAGCAATTAGAGTAAGGTGTTTCAGTATTTAAAACTTTAAATATTAAAAAACACATACATTACTTGAAAGATTGTGCCAATATCTGACATTTCACCATTTAAATGCAAGATTAATGGAACTTGCAGCGCTCTACGTTTTTATAATATTTGCTTCTAAGTCTTTCATTATAGAAAAGCTTTCAGTGTATGTGTATCAGGGCTGGTCCTACTGTATGTTGGTCTGTACCTGTATGCTTAAAATTAAGGTATTGAAAGTTCATAACAGGGCTCGAAATAATAGAGAAGAAGGGTATGGCAAAACCAAAAAATATTAATTGTAATATCTACTTTTTGTAAACATGGGGGGGAATAACATTTTCTGATGGGAAGTGGGCTTTATAAATTATTCCAGTAACTGGTGCAGCACATTGTGGTGATAGAACTGTTTCCTTGTCTATGACTTGTAATGGCTCCATTTGAAAGAAAAAAAGCTTTGAAAACAGATTTTTTTTATTTAGAAATCTGAGCCAGAGCCTGTTATTTCAAACCCTGATATGTATGATTTGCTTAGAAAAGTACTCCCAAATTTCTGGGAAAAACACCTTTTAACTTGTAGTAGATAGTATGAAATAATTAACTGAAATTATTTTGATTTTAGCAAAGCACAGTAGACTTTTGAAACTAACTTGTCTTTATATAGTTAAATAGGAATCTGTAATGTTTTTCTATTTTTAATTTTTTTAGGATTGGTATCTTATGTTGATCTTGATGAGAGAGCAATAGATGCTCTCAGAGAATTTAACGAAGAAGGCGCCCTCTCTGTATTACAGCAGTTTAAGGAAAGTGACCTGTCGCATGTACAGGTAAGGTAAGAGCTCCTGTGGTGTGAACAAATAGGCCCACAGTGTGGTGTGGTGCAGTAATTATGAATAAACGTGTCTGAATTCAGATTTTTTTTTCACAGCAAGATTGTGTTTCCATTCAAATACTAAACATAAAATATAACATTGTATGTGAGTATTAGTGTCTCGTATTAGCCTGATAATTGATAAAGTGCATATGATAGTGCTGCTTTGTTTTAATACTAATATATCAAGTGATGATATATTCAAGATACTGGTTGGTTCTCAGGGTGTAGCTAAGCATTATTCAAGTTTCAGTGGCGTCAGATAATTTTTTAATGCCTTCTGCTTCATTTCTTTCATTAATTACATCTACAGAACAAAAGTGCATTTTTATGTGGAGTTATGAAGACTTATAGACAGAGAGAGAAACAAGGAAGCAAAGTACAAGAATCAACAAAAGGGCCAGACGAAGCAAAAATTAAGGTAATGTATATATATATATATATATATATATATACACACACACATATACAGGTATTAATAGGAAAGCAAATAAAAGTGGAACTTATTCTCAGGAGAAAGAACTATATCCCAAAATGAATTTCTCCATTAGTTCCTTTTATAACAAACTGTTACTGTTACAAATGTAAATTGGCAGAAATATCTAAAATAATCCCTAATTCCTTCTAAGATAAATTTTGCAAATTGTGAGATTTTATAGGGAAAAAAATAGGTGCTGAGAAGAGTTATCTGAATCTTACTTTTTTAATTTTTTCAGTTTCTAGCAACTATATAGTTAGCATAACATACGTAGCTGTTCTATTACATGCATTGTTTTAGTGCCTGATAATAAAGATTGGAAATCCCCTCTCTTGAAAAAAAATTCCCAGTTTGAAGTGGAGAACATAACAAGACTATTTACTATACTAAGATAGTTTCTTGACTATTGTTACTCACCTAAGTAAAGTTTTTGTGTCTTCAATAAAGTGCATATGATAGAAGTAATGTTTCTGCTAGCCATGGAGAAATAACTGGCAAACTTAATAGAAAATACTAAATACTACAACTTGGACGCACTGGGGGGAGGGGCATGGTTATGGGCACCCTATAACTGATCTCACAAAGCCCACAAAATTGTCCAAAGAATGTTAGAGAAGGATTTTGTTCACATTCAGCATTCCTTTTATTTACTTGGCTTTGCTCTCCTTATTGTATTCTTGCTGGCAGTATTTGTAGTGGGAAATAAAAGGCCTTCTGCAAAGGGGTCATGAGATACCCCCTACCCCCATCTGTATTAACAACTGCTAACCTCTCCATCTTGGAATTTTTCATCTTTTGAAATTTTAGAATGTTATTTTTAAAACTTTAAAACTTTTTAAATCTGAAATTATGCTGATTTTAATGTCAATTTTATTGATTATATTGTACACTGCCCAAAACCCCTCTCTGAGGGAGATGAGCAGTTAAGAGATATGAATGAATAAAAGAATGAAAGAAATAAGACATGAAATGCAGTCCCACTAGGCACGATTCTGATGTTAACATGTTAGAAACTTTTCAGTAGTGTGCTAAGAAGAAATCTTATCAGACAGATATAATACTATCAATAGCAAAAAAATAACGGGTTTTACCATCTTTAGTTGATATTCTGCATTTCTCTTACAAATGGTTAAATTTTGTAAATGTGTTCCAGAATATGAAGCAGTGGGGGAAATGTTCTATTGAAAGGGTTCCTTGGGGTGAAGTGTTGTTTTTCCCCTATTGACATTAAAAGCCACTTGGTATCTTTTTTTTTTCCTTTTAAAAATTCAGGCTTTGTTAGAACGAACTAGCTATACTTTGGATGTGACCACAGGACAACGGAAATATGGTGGTCCTCCTCCAGATACTGTCTACTCAGGATCTCAGCCTGGCATTGGAACAGAGGTTTGCATATGCAGTTTATATGTCTAAATAAGATTATGTTGACTTTAATTATACTAAATAAACAAATAGGAATTATTATAGATAGTCTTTGATTTACGACCACAATGGAGTCCAAATTTCCATTGCTAAGCAAGACAGTTGTAAGTGAGTTGTGTCCCATTTTACAATCTCTGAATCACTGCAATTGTTAAATGAATAAGGTAATTGAGTGAATCTGGCTTTCCCCATTTGCTTATCAGAAACCAACTGGGAAGGTTGCAAATAGTGATCACGTGACCCTGGGATACTGCAAATGTCATAAATATATGCCCATTACCAAGTGCCCAAATTTTGATCACACAATCACTGGGATGCTGCAACAGTCTTAAGTGTGGAAACTGGTCATAAGTCACTTTTTTCAGTGGTGTAACATTGAACAGTCACTAAACAAATGGTTATAAGTTGACAACTACCTGTATTTTATAAATTAAGAAACAAAATAAATTATTCCAGTGCTCCAACAGTTTTTAAGAAGAGACTGGACAGCCATTTGTCCGAAATGATGTAGGGTTTCCTGCCTGAGCAGAGGGTTGGACTCGATGACTTCCAAGGTCCCTTTCAACTTTTTTATTGTTGTTGTAATTATGTTAAATTTAGCTTTATCAAAAATACTAACTACTAAGTTACTAACACTGATGGAAATTGCAAAATAATTTTCGATAGGAGAAAGTGCAGGTGGATTGTTAAATAGTAATAACCTGCTTTTAACAATAGTGATTATCAGAATCAAAGTATGTGTAATGTAGTGATAGAAATGCTTTTGAAAGCTGTTCTCCAGCACAGGAGATGGATAATCCACCAATGGGTTAACTCGGTCCTCCTGCCCAATCAGATCAAGTCAGCCAAACTTGCCACACCTGTCCTGGGCCTGTTTTCCCAGTCCCGACTTGATCTTGTCCAGAACAGACGTGCATGTTTGGCTCACAGGCAGGTAGATCTTAATCTATTGGTGGATTATCCATTAATTCTTAAATTCTAACCCTCTGAGTAGTGCTGGGACCAGCGCTCCTCTAGAGGACTCTCCCTTCATCTGATCCCCATTGGGAATCAGCAACAAACAGAGGCTTCCGTTTCTCCCCTTCTTTCCTAGCTCAGTGGTGGGCTCAGCGCTCCTGCAAATTCCCCCCCCCCCCAATTCCTTTCCCCAGCTCACCTCGGCTTCGAAGCTTGCAGCTGCAGCTCCGACAGCCTTACGGCGATCAGATAAGCTCCGTGGAGGCCGCAGGGCCTCGTCTCACAAATACTCGCACGGGAGGCTTCCAGGGCTCCCAAAATGCCACGAATCAGCTAGTAGGGCGTTTTCCCCCTGCCGCTTTCTTCCTCGCATTCCGTGCCCAGTTGGGTGAGCAAATTGCAGTCCGTTCGGTACCGAAGGGGGAGAATGGCGTTTGGGACGCGGCCGCCATTTTGTGGGCCATGTGGTCATCACAAGTCATCATGGCTACAAGGGGAGGCAGAGGGTGGGGTGGGGGAAGGGATTCCTCCCCAATCTCTTCACCTTTCGTTAGCCTTTCCCTCAAAGGGCATCTCTCTCCTTCATTGCACATCAGCCCCTGATAAATAACACATCTTAACAAGGAAGACCCAGGGCTAGCCAGGAGCCCCACCGGGTTACGGCCGCCATCTTGGAAGCTTCATATCCTCCCAAGGCCGCCATTTTGGAAGCTCCTCGTGCTCCAACCCAAGGCCCTACTGAGGCCTTCTCTGACCAAGGCCCCTCTCGGGTTCCTTGTAGCCAAGGATTGCCTGGGATCTCTCTCTTGTCATCCTTGGAGACTCCTCTTGTGGCATTTGGATTTTTCCTCTTTCATTCCTTGGCATAGGCTCAATTGATTTCATTGGGTCTTCTGGTGTCTCCAGTCCTGGTCACCACTTGGTTAGCTGATTAACACAGTAGTTCCCAGCCTCTGACTCTGTATTAGTTGCCATCCTTTTTACATTGCTGGCCTGGCAACACAGCAAGCCTCACTAGCAGGCCGCAGTCCACCCTTTGGGGGAAATTATAGCGGCTGCAAGCAGGACCGGTCTTTTGGATACCACCGGTTCGGTGACCGGGGGGGAGGGTAGTTCTTACCAGCCGTTGCCCTACACCCTTATTAACTAATTGATCCTTTTTCCAGGGGTACCCTCTCGTGCACCTGAAGATTTTATACCAGCATGGAGGATAACATGGCCTACCAATCCAAGGATGCCTCCCCTCCTTCCTCTGTCCGGAAAAGGCACTGGCAGGATCTCAGCCAAGGTCAAACCCAAGGCTGTCTCTGGGGGGGAACCTCCAAATTGGCTGAAAAACAGGCCAGTAGGAGACACCAGGCATTGGAAAAAGAGTTTTCAAAGGGTCAAAAACAGGCCAGGGCTGAGACTGCTCAGACTGAGTTCACCTTCTTTGATTTGCCTCTCGGTCTCTCCTCTTCTGCCCAGGAAGTCTGGTCACCGGTAGAGCCTTCTACTTCCTCTGGTCAGCCCGGTCTGGAACCTGACGCACATACATTCAGGTCTCCGACCACCCCACAGGCCCAGCAGGCCCCAGAAGCCACCTTCACGCCCACGGCTGCGGGGCTCAGAGGGGAAGAGTCCGCCCTTCCTCCCCTAGAGGATAGGCTCCAAGTCCTGGTGGCTCAGGCGGTGGAGAGGGCCCTCACAGCCAGGTCTCCTCTGGTACCCAAGGCGGATTCCTTGCTTTCCCTCCCTCTTTCTCGCCCAGCTCATCAGAGTTCTCACGATCCTCCCTCCCCCTCCCATTCCTCGTATAGTGGGGTTTCACTAACCCCGGAGCGGGATCAGGCGCTTGATGCCTCATGGTTGGAGGAGGAGGAATCGGCCCCGGATCCGCCCCCATTTGGCGGTCTATTTAATCCATCTCTCTTTTTACCCCTACTTCGCAAGGCTAGCTCTGCAGCGCACGTGGGACCTGACCAGTCCGCTCCAGTAGCAACTGCAATGGATTCAGAGGTGGACCCTGTCTTCGTCGAACCGGTTGTCACCCAACACCATGTTCCCTGTCCACCATTATTTCTCAATGCAGTTAAGAAACAATGGACTTCCCCGGGTACCTTTCCTCTTCCAGGTGGGAACGATAAAAAGTTGTTTAGCGTGGCCTCAGATTTAGCAGAGGTACTGGACGTGCCCACGGTGGATGAGCCCGTCTCACCTTTTTCACCTACCACTATTTCAGGAGATATGTCTGAGGCCTTAAAAACTGAGGAACGCAGAGACAGCGTACGGGACCTGGTTCTCAAGGTCTGCAGGGACAGGACTCTGTCGCCCTCTGGTCTCTCCTGGCTACTGGGAAAAATGATATCGTGCATAGAGATCGTTTCCTGGGCCAGGCTACACTCACGGACTCTCCAGTGGTTTCTGCTTCCCTACCAGAAGCAGGGTACCAGCATTTCCAACCGAGAGGTAAGGATTCCACCACAAAGTCTGCGCTCGATCAGATGATGGATCTCTTCCGCCATGACCAGAGGGTCTCTCTTCAAGGAGCCTGATCGGCTCACGATCACGACGCAGTATGTTAGGCTGGGGAGCACACTATCAGTCACAGTGGGCCTAGGGACGATGATCTCGATTAGACCTGAGACACAATATCAATTGGCTGGAACTCAGGGCCATACATCTAGCCCTTCGTCACTTCCACCACGGGATTGCGAGACAACACGTGTTAGTCCTCATGGACAACGTGGCAGCAAAGGCCCATGTGAACCGATAGCGGGGGTACCCGATCCCGTGCCCTCTTGACTGAGGCCCAGCAGCTGGGCTCCTGGGCAGAGACCAACCTTGCCTCGATCAGGGCAGACCACATCTCGGGGGAGGCAAACAAAAGGGCAGACTTTCTGAGCAGGTCAACCGTGGACCACTCGGAATGGCATCTGCACCCGGACTATTCAGGGAGATCTGCAGATTCGGCCTCCCCATCATAGATCTGTTCGCCTCCCAGGCGAACACACAACTCCCGCGATTCTTTTCGTGCTTCCCAACTTGGGGCAGAGAGAGTACATGCCCTTTGGGTTCCATGGCCGGAGGGCCTCCTAGCCTTTCCCCCTCTTCCTCTTCTCCCGTTGGTCATCCGCAAGCTTCTGCAAGAAAGGGCAGAGGTTCTCTTGATAGCCCCTTACTGGCCGCGCAGGCCTTGGTTCACCGACCTTGTCAGCCTTTCCCTGTTGCGCCCTTGGAGACTTCCTCTGGACCAGGTATCACTAACCCAGGGGGATCTGATTCACCCGGACCCTCAATGGCTTCAGTTAGCCGTATGGCACTTGAGCACCGGCTCCTATCCCGGGAGTCCTGTTCGCCAGGGGTCATTACCATAATCCAGGCATCTCGTAGACTGGCTAATAACCGCATCTACGATGCCACGTGGCAGAATTTTTGCCGGTGGTGTTCCACTCACCTGCCTTTATCGGAATTGACCATTCCAAATGTTTCGGACTACTTACTTGAGGGTCTGAATAAGGGATTAGCACCTGATACATTGCGCAGACAGGTGGCAGCCCTCTCTACATTGATTACTTGCAACACTGTTAATTCTCTGAGCCAACATCCCTTGATCCGTTTTTTCCTCAAGGATGCAACTAATACTAGGCCTCCTGTTGTCCACAGATATCCCTCGTGGGAATTGCCTCGGGTCCTTCAGGCTCTCACGAAGTCTCCTTTTGAACTCCTCAGTTCGTGCGACATGAGATCCTTATCTCTCAAGGTCGCCTTCTTGGTCGCCATCCCTTTGGCCCAGCGCATTTCTGAGATGGCAGCACTCTCAGAGATGATTTATGTATTTTTCACGGGACGTTGTTACCCTTCGATTAGAACCCATCTTTGTCCCCAAGGTCAACTCCCTATTTCATAGGGCTCAGGATATCGTTCTCCCAGATTTCTGCCCTAATCCTTCCCATGATCTGGAACGTCAGTGGCTTTTCTTGGACGTTCGCCGGGCTCTCCGTTGAGGCACTCTTTGTCTCATTCCACCCTTCTTCCAAGGGTCGGAAGGTCTTGGCCTCCACAATCGGCCGGTGGATAAGAGCCTGCATTGCGGGGGCGTACCAGTCCAATTCCTTGCCGGTTCCACATCGTGTCATGGCCCACTCTACGCGTAGTGCGGCCACATCAGCGGCTTGGGCCACTCAGGCTTCCATTGAGGAGGTGTGTAGGGCAGCCACGTAGTTTTCACCTTCACCGTTCATACGGCATTACAAACTGGACAGGTATGCATCCGCTGAGGCCTCCTTTGGCAGGAGAGTCCTACAACAGGTGGTGCCCCGTGACATGGTTCCAAACTTGCCCCCTCCCGTAAGGAGAGTGGGTTTTGGTATGTCCCATTGGTGGATTATCCATCTGTGCTGGAGAAGGGGCGTTGTCTTACCTGAACGCCTTTTCTCAGCACAGAGATGGATAATCCACATCCACCCATTTAGGTGCCTAGGGTTAGTTTCTGTGAGCCAACACGTCATGCTGTCAATCAGTAGCTGCCACCCTCGTCGAGACTGGGAAAACAGGCCCAGGACAGGCGTGGCAAGTTTGGCTGACTTGATCTGATTGGGCAGGAGGATTGAGTTAACCCATTGGTGGATTATCCATCTCTGTGCTGAGAAAAGGCATTCAGGTAAGACAACCCCCCTTTTCTCCTGTAAGAGAGATGACTATCCGTTTTTATAAACAAGTATTCAGTTTGTCACATGGTTTATGATATTTGAAGCAGTTCACATTTATAACTATTTTCAGTTACCTTTCTGTACAAAGGTGCAAGATTCATAATGAAGACTGTATTGAAATACCAGATGTACTTCATATGGCCCATGAAAACCCTGAGTGCAGCTCCCAGAGCACCCCCAAATTAGGTTTAATTTAATAGGAGGAAAAAATTAATAATTAGAGAGAAAATCGTATTAATTACTTCTAATTCACTTATTATATTTCCAAGAAGATTGCATATTCATGATCAGATTAAAAGCTACAGTACCTTTTAGTTCTTGTTAATAAATATTAGTTCTCCTTTAGGTTTTTGTTGGAAAAATTCCTAGAGACTTGTACGAAGATGAATTGGTGCCACTTTTTGAAAAGGCAGGCCCCATTTGGGACTTGCGACTCATGATGGATCCACTTTCTGGACAGAACCGAGGCTATGCTTTTATCACATTTTGTAGCAAAGATGCAGCACAAGAAGCTGTTAAGTTGGTGAGTGTTCTGCCATAAGACCAGGTATGGTGCAAATTAGAAAAGTAAGTATTTGCCTTACAATTTAGAAATTGTTAGAACAAGATACACTATATAGTCTCACTTTCTCCCTATTTTTTCTCAGTTAAACACATCCTGCTTGGGTATTTTTTGTATTTATAGGTAATGTTGGCTGCAATATATAAGTCGCTTGATGGTGAGATGGATGGCATACAAATTTTAAATAAATAATTAAATAGCAAAATATATTTTATTGGAAACTAACTTTTAGAGGTTCTAAAACTCTAAATTTTGTCAATGCAAAAATGCAAATGCTATACTAAATAATGTAAATATCTAGTCTTTTAATCAATATAGGCAACTAGAGTTTGCTGGTATCTGTATTTTCATAAGCTGAAAGTTCATGGGAAATGTTTAATTGTTTTTCTTTCAGTGTGATAACTATGAAATTCGGCCTGGTAAACACCTAGGTGTGTGCATCTCGGTGGCAAATAATAGGCTGTTTGTTGGATCAATTCCAAAAAACAAAACAAAGGAGAATATACTAGAAGAATTCAGCAAAGTCACAGGTAAGGAGATGAGGGCCTGTGCTGTTGTAAAAAAAAATGGCTTCAATTTTGTTGTTGTTGTTAGTTGCGAAGTCGTGTCCGACCCATCACAACCCCATGGATAACGTTCCTCCAGGCCTTCCTGTCCTCTACTATCTTCTGGAATCCATTTAAGCTCACGCCTACTGCTTCAGTGACTCCATCCAGCCACCTCATTCTCTGTTGTCCCCTTCTATTGCCTCAACCTTTCTTATGGTCCAACTTTCGCAGCCATATATCACAAATGGGAAAACCATGGCCTTGACTATACGTACTTTTGTTGGCAGGGTGATGTCTCTGCTTTTTAGTATGCTGTCTAGATTTGCCATAGCTTTCCTCCCCAGGAGCAAGCGTCTATTAATTTCTTGGCTGCAGTCCCCATCTGTGGTGATCTTGGAGCCCAGGAAGATAAAATCTGTCACTACCTCCATTTCTTCCCCATCTATTTGCCAGGAATTGAGAGGGTCGGATGCCATGATCTTGGTTTTCTTAATGTTGAGTTTCAAGCCAACTTTTGCACTCTCCTTCTTCACCCGCATCAAGAGGCTCTTTAATTCCTCTTCACTTTTGCTTCTTGACCCGCATATAGGTTTCTCAAGGGACAAATAAGATGGTCTGGTACTCCCATCTCTTTAAGAACTTGCCACAATTTGTTGTGATCCACACAATCAAAGGCTTTAGCGTAGTCAATGAAGCAGAAGTAAGTGTTTTTCTGGAACTCCTTAGCTTTCTCCATGATCCAGCGTATGTTGGCAATTTGATCTCTAGTTCCTCTGCCTCTTCGAAATCCTGCCTGTACTTCTGGAAGTTCTCGATCCACATACTGCTGGAGTCTAGATTGTAGGATTTTAAGCATAACCTTACTTGCATGTGAAATGAGTACAATGGTGTGATAATTTCAACATTCTTTGGCATTGCCTTTCTTTGGAATTGGAATGTAAACTGATCTTTTCCAATCCTGTGGCCACTGTTGAGTTTTCCAAATTTGCTGGCAAATTGAGTGTAGCACTTTTACTGCATCATCTTTTAATATTTTGAATAGTTCACTGGAATACTGTCACCTCCACTAGCTTTGTTGTTGCTCAGCTTTCCTAAGGCCCATTTCACTTCACATTCTAGGATGTCTGGCTCAAGGTCAGTGACCATCCCATCGTGGTTATCATCGTGGTTAAGCTCATTCTTGTATAGTTCTGTGTAATTTTGCCACCTCTTCTTAATCTCTTCTGCCTCTGTTAGGTCCCTGCCATTTCGGTCCTTTATCATGCCCATCTTTGCATGAAACATTCCCTTCATATCTCCAATTTTCTTGAAGAAATCTCTGGTTCTCCCTATTCTATTGTTTTTTTCGATTTCTTTGCACTATTCATTTAAGGGCATTCTTTTCTCCAGCACAGGAGATGGAGAATCCACCAATGGGTTAACTCTGTCTTCCTGCCCATTTGACCAAGTCAGCCAAACTTGCCACGCCTGTCCTGGGCTAGGCCACACCCAGTCTTGACTTGATCTCAGCCCTACAGGACATGACAAAGTTGGCTCCCGGCAAGTTGTATTGCTTTTTGCATTGTTTATACTTTATACCATTGGTGAATTCTTCTGAAATCCTCAGTCATTTCTACAGCGCTGGGATCAGTGCTGTTACAGATGACTGTGGAAACTTAGGCTTCCCTTTAGTTCCTCAGAGATCCTTGTAAGAAAGAAGGCTTCTCTTATTCTCTGAACCCTACCTCACAGTCTGCAGCGCTGGGATCGGCGCTGCAGCTGGATTGATTAGACCTTCAGGGGGGTGGGGTTTTTTCTTGATCAATTGGCTTCCTCACTCCAACGTCTGAGACAGGTTTGAGGAAATTTGTTTTGGCATATGCCACTGCGGGATCATGGAGGCCTAGAGGGCCCCCTTTCCTGTCGGATTGAGAGGCCACCATCTTTTCGCGCCGGGTTTTAAATTTCATGCTGAATTGATTACCCCCAGGATCTAGGAAACTTGTTTTTTTGGCAGCCACTTGCCTTTGGCAGCAGCCACTGCAGAATCGCTGAGGCCCCAAACGGTCTCTTTTCCACCAGTTCAAGCGGCCATCACCCTTTCGGCCCAAATTGTTCCTTTTCGCATCGAATCGCCTCCGTGGGATTGCGGAGGCCCCAGACAGTCCCCTTTCACTGGATTGAGCGATCGTCAGGTTTCGAGCTGAATTGTTCCTGTCGTGCCGGATTGCCGCTGCGGGATCACGGAGGCCCGAGAAGGCTTGCTTTTCTGTCGGATCGAGCGGCTGCCATCTTTTTATTTAAATTTGAGCTTTCACGCCCAATTGCTCCGGCCGCCATTTTTGGCTGCCGGGACGAGCCGTGGCGACAGAACAAAGTGATTCCCCTCCAAGGGAGGCAGTTCTCACATCGCAGCACAGTCCCCACTACTCGGGTCTTTTCTGACTTAATCTTCACATGATCTTGATTCTCTCCAGGCCTGGCCTACATCCACACTACGCCCTGTGCTTTACCATTTGACACGTACTGTATTACACGTGTCCCCAGCTGATCTGAGTGTTCATAATAATAATAAAGACACTCATAGGTGCATTTTATTACCTGGCCACCTCTAGTGGGCTAAACCATCCCGCCCGGCGAGTGTGATAACACCTCACTGTCACAGAGTTCTACATCCAAGCAGGTTTGCTGCGGCCATAGGCACGGCCGGATTCAGGGAACAAACAGATCATTTCCCTTACTGGCCAAGTGGCCAGGGGAGCAGGGCAACACACATTGCCTTGGCAATCCCCTGCTCCACCTGCTCAGCCTAACCCGCCCACTGATCTCCTGCCAGAGCTCCCTCTCGGTATCACTGAGATAGCTCACACCAGATTGGAGGAGTCCACGATGTCTCAACCTAAAAACACCACCTCCCCACCCACTAGCCATAAGAGGCAGAAATCCTCCAAACAGGAGGCGGCAGGCAGGATCAAAGCCAAGGCCAAGACCATCTCCGGAAGGAAGCCTTCCAAATTGGCGGAAAAACAGGCTAGCAGGAGGCACCAAGCATTGGAGAAGGAGTTCTCCAAAGCACAGAAACAGGCCAGGGCAAAGGCAGAGCAGATAGAGGAGGTGGCCTTTGATCTTCCTGTGGGGCCCTTGACCTCTGCCCAAGGGGTCTGGTTCCCGGAAGGCAGTCCCACTGCAAACCTTCTTCTGGGGTGGATGAAGTCCAAACTATCCAACAACCATCATTATCACAAACAATCCCAGAGGCCACCTTTACCCCCACAGCGGCAGGACTCAGGGTGGCTGAACCCGAGGGCTCCCCTTCTGAGGATGGCTCCAAACCCTGATCACTCAGGTGGTTGACCTGGCACTTGCTGCCAGGTCGTACCACGTGCCCAGGCCGGAGTCCGTGAATTCTATATCCCCATCCTTCTTTCAGTCGCATGTACCTGATTACCAGGGTCCCTCCTCACCCTCCAGATCATCCCATAGCAGGGTCTCATCTCCTCCGGAGGATGACCAACCTGACATGTCATGGTGGGAGGAGGAAGACCCTCCTCCAGACCCTCCACCATTCAGAGGTCTATTCAACCCGACCCTTTTCTTGCCACTGCTACGCAGGGCCAGCGCAACAGACCTGATCAGATTCTCCAGTCAGACCCACCGCCCAGTTCAGCCTCGAACCCGGTGTTCTTCGAACCCGTCATAACTCAGCATCATGTCCCTTATCCATCACTCTTTCGGAACGCGCTCCGAAAACAATGGGTGTCGCCCGGCACTTTCCCTCCCCTGGGGGGAACGGACAGGAAACTGTTCAGTGCAGTGCCAGACCTGGTAGAGGGCTGGAGGTGCCAAAGGTGGACGAACCCTTTGGCCCCCTCTTGTCCTTGTCTGCAGTGTTGGGGGACATAGCAGAGGTGCTAAAGGCCGAGGACAGGAGATGGGAACTGACCTTCCGCAGAACTCACCAGGTGGTGGCGTGGGCAGCAAGAGCTGCCATTTGCACATCCTTCTTTGCCAGAACTTCTCTACTCTGGCTTCGTCAGTTACAAGCCAGGCTTCCCCCGGAGGAGGTACGTACACAAGATCTGAGCAAGCTTGTTGCAGCATCAGAGTATGTCTCAGATGTGACATTACATCTGCCAGGTTCTCATCCAGGACCATTGCATCCAACGTCTCAGCACGAAGGATGCTATGGCTCAAACAGTGGCAAGCCGACCCAAAGTCCAAATGGCGTCTAGCCACGGCTCCTTACCAGGGTGGTCAACTGTTTGGAGAGGCCCTTGCCCCTTATTTAACCAAAAATAAGGACAAGCGGAAGGTGTTGACACACCTCAACAGACGAGCCGACAGGCGTGCTAACCCGTATGCCCGTAAGCAGTCCTTTCAGCCAGGAATGGGCTCAGGCTCCACCCAGCCTCCCCGTACCTTCATGACCAGACGGGATCGTCCGTCCGACGGGACCGGCCCCAGACCACAATTCCAGAGCAAATGGCCCTTTGGGGGGGTCACTCCTATAGGAGATCCAAGTGACTCTCGACCCGTTCCCCCCATAGGTAGCAGACTCGCGCTCTTTGCCCACCAGTGGGAAGTCACCACCACAGGTTCCTGGGTCCATCAGACCATTCGATACGGTCTTCCCTGGAATTCGTAATCAGCCCCCAGGGCGCTTTGTCTCTTGTCCCCAATCAAAGAACCCCATCAAAAGTGGTCTCATGCGGGAGGCCATTTGACATCTCTTGGAAATAAGGGCAATAGAACCTGTGCCGGCCGGTCAACAGGGGCAGTGTTTTTATTCCATCCTCTTCGTGATTCCCAAAAACTCGGGGGGATGGAGAGTGATTCTAGACCTCAAAGGTCTGAACTCCCATATCGCATACCGAAAGTTCAAGATGCAGACGCTTCAGTCCATCTTGGGCAGCATAAGGAACGGAGATTTCCTGATGTCCATAGACCTTGTGGAAGCGTATCTCCATATCCCCATCCTTCCTGATCACTGACAGTTCCTCAGGTTCTGTTACGCAGGCCATCACTACCAGTACAGGGCCCTCCCGTTCAGCTTTTCCTCAGCTCCAAGGGTGTTCACCAAAGTTCTGGTGGTGCTGGCCGCACACCTTCGGTTGGTATCGTTGCGCGTCCAGTGCTGTCTGGATGACATTCTCATCCAGTGGTCAACCATAGGCAGGTGGATCAAGGCTTGCATTGCGGAGGCGTACCGGTTATATTCCCTTCCAGTGCCACGGCACAGCACATTCCACTCGCAGTGCTGCGACCTCCGCGGCATGGGCCACGCAGGCCTCCATCAAGGAAGTCTGCAGGGCGGCAACATGGTCCTCGTTTTTTCCCTTTGTGCGGCATTATAAGATAGACCGATTTGCATCTACGGACGCGTCCTTTGGATGGAGGGTCCTTAAGCAGGTGGCTTCTGGGAATGTGGCTCCGGTCTCGTCTGTTTCCCCCCCCCCATTGGGACAGTGAGGCTTTGGTATGTCCCGTTGGTGGATTCTCCATCTCCTGTGCTGGAGAAGGGGCGTTGTCTTACCTGAACGCCTTTTCTCAGCACGGAGATGGAGAATCCACTCCCGCCCTTAGGGTCATATTAGGAGTCCAGGAGCCAACACGTCAGACTATCGTCAGCTGTTTTCGCCTTCTTCAAGACTGGGTGTGGCCTAGCCCAGGACAGGCATGGTAAATTTGGCTGACTTGGTTAAATGAGCAGGAAGACAGAGTTAACCCATTGGTGGATTCTCCATCTCCGTGCTGAGAAAAGGCGTTCAGGTAAGACAACGCCCTATCTCTTCTAGCTATTCTCTGGAATTCTGCATTCAATTGGGTGTATCTTTCTCCCTTGCCTTTCGCTTCCCTTCTTTCCTCAGCTGTTTGCAAAGCTTCTTTGGACAGCCATTTTGCTTTGTTGCATTTCTTTTTCTTTGGGATGGTTTTAGTTGCTACCTCTTGTACAATGTTGCGAACCTCCGTCCATAGTTATTCAGATCTAATTCCTTAAATCTATTTGTCACCTCTACTGTATATTTATCAGGGATATGATTTAGTTCATACCTGAGTGGCCTAGTGTTTTTCCCTACTTTCTTCAATTTAAGCCTAAATTTTGCCACAGTCAGCTCCTGGTCTTGTTTTTACTGACTGTATAGAGCTTCTCCATCTTTGGCTGCAGAGCACATAGTCAATCTGATTTCTGTGTTGACTGTCTGGTGATGTCCATGTGTAGAGCCGTCTCTTGGATTGTTGGAAAAGAGTTTGCTATGACCATCGTATTCTCTTGACAAAATTCTATCAGCCTGTGTCCTGCTTCATTTTGTACTCCAAGGCCAAACTTGCCTGTTATTCCGGTTATCTTTTGGCTTCCTACTTCAGCATCCAATTCCCCATGATGGTAAGGACATTATTTTTTGGTATTGATTCTATAAGATGCTGTAGGGCTTCATAGAACCGGTCAGTTTCATCCTCTTCAGCACCAGTGGTTGTGGCATAGACTTGGACTACTGCGATATTGAATGGTTTGCCTTGGATTTGCACTGAGATCATTCTGTCATTTGGGGGATTGTATCCCAGTATTGCTTTTCCTACTCTTTTATTGACTATGAAGGCTACTACATTTCTTCTGAGGGGTTCTTGCCTGCAATAGTATACCTGATGGTCATTCCTGTCCATTTTAGTTCGCTGATTCCTAAGATGTTGATGTTCAGTCTTGTTTGACCACATCCAGCTTGCCTTGATTCATGGATCTTACATTCCAGGTTCCTATGGAAAAAAGATCTTTACAGCATCGGACTTTCCTTTCACCACCAGATGCATCCACAACTGAGCGTCCTTTCGGCTTTGGCCCAGTCGCTTCACTCTTTCTGGTGCTACTAGTACTAGCCCTCTGCTCTTCCCCAGTAGCATATTGGACACCTTCCGACCTGAGGGGCTCATCTTCCAGCATCATATATTTTTGTCTTTTGGTACTGTCCATGGGGTTTTCATGGCAAAGATACTGGAGTGGGTTGCCATTTCCTTCTCCAGTGGATCACATTTTGTCAAAACTCTCTGCTATGACCATAGCTTCATTGAGTTACGCAAGCCCCTTCGCAACGACAAGGCAACAAACCATGAAGGAGGACTTCAATTTAATATAGCTTAATTTAGAAGCCACGAGATTCCTGGATGACTGCAGGAGGCTTATAAATTAAAAAAAAGTCAACAAAAAAATACGTATATAAAAATGAACTCTGGCTGATAGGAAAATAATACACTAGATTATAACACATTAAATAATGTCTAAAAATAATGAAATGCTAAATAAGCATGCAGCCTTGTTGAGCTTTCATAAAGCAAAGGGTTTAGGGGAATAGGATAATCATGATTCTGAACTTAATTCCAGGTTATATGTAGGTTTTCATATGAAAAGTCTCACTAATTTGGCAGAAGGTGAACTACTTTCATTGGTGAATTTTCAGTCCACTACCAGTCACAATATATTATTCTGTCTGTCTTTTATTTTTTTACTATTATTGTTTTTTAATGCTTTTATTTACTGGTCTGTGACTGTAATAAAAATAGATCGATTTTCATTTTGGCCTAATGGCAACAAAATAAATTGGCCTTGCATTGTTCATAGCAAGAATAATAATAGTTAAAATAGAGGTGTACACAAAACAGGAATCAAAGCAGTTGTGCTTGAATCATTCTGCTGAACAATCTTGGTTGCTTTATGTAGTTGCTTTCAAGGAAAACACTTGCAACACACACATTTTCTCTAGCTTTGAACACTCAAAATGATCCAAGCAGTTTGCTTCAAAGTTCTTTTCTGTAATTGAAAATCTTAAAAATACCAAGTTTTACTCTGAAAAACATGACACACTTTTTGAACTAGAGACATTTTCACACTTTTAGTTATTTAGGGTAGATGGAAAGAGCGAAAACAGCACCTCCATTTCTCAAAGAATTGATAACATTGTACCAGAACTGAAAGCAATTGCATCTTTCATGAGGTGGTCTACAAATAATTGTGATGAGATGAGTAACACTTTCATATTTCCTGTAGCAGAAAAGCTTGGAAAAATAGTTCAAAATAATATATCAAAATCCAGCCAGGGCTGAATCACCAGCCCATTTGCAGTAGAATCCCTACCTGTGATTCAGAAGAATATTTCCTTATTCTGAATATCTGATATCTGCTAGGTAGTAGTTAAAGCAATGAGTCTGTTTTTGCCATTTTATAAAAAATGACAGTCATGAGCTGTGATTTTTTTCATCTCTGTGCTGGGTCAGGGAGCATCATTTGTATCTATTTGCCAGAAGCAAATGCGGTATTACAACAGTAAACAGAGTAAAAAGAGCAACTTTGTAGAATCTTAAGAGTTTCCTTTATGCTCCCCAAAAGGTATATTTTCACAGCGCATTAGTTAAGCCAGGGGTCTTCAAACTTGGCAACTTTAAGACTTGTGTACTTCAACTCCCAGAATTCCTCAGCCAGCCAAGTCTTCAGCATCCTTAATAGTTTATTTTGAAACCTCTTTTTTAATTAACCTTTCAAATGAGAAAAGTTTTAGTCTTCAGTTATTTATCAGGTGTTTTGTTCTTTCAGAAGGTTTAGTTGATGTGATCCTGTATCATCAACCTGATGATAAAAAGAAGAATCGGGGGTTTTGCTTCCTTGAATATGAAGATCACAAATCAGCAGCTCAAGCTCGACGCCGGTTGATGAGTGGGAAAGTGAAAGTCTGGGGAAACGTCGTTACTGTTGAATGGGCTGATCCAGTAGAGGAGCCAGATCCAGAAGTCATGGCAAAGGTAATAAAGTAGTAGCTAAAATTGACATGATCTGAATTAAACTTCACAGATAGGTTTATTTTTTTTCTTCTTGATTATTTCTAGAATATCTGTTTACCTTGCTCTGTGTGTGTGTGTGTGTGTGTGTGTGTGTGTGTGTGTGTGTGTTAGGCCATTTTGCACTCAGAAGGGATAAAGTGCCATTGTGTGTGTGTGTGTGTTTTTTTATGCATATAAACAACAATATAAGATTTATATCTGGTAAAAAATAATTTCTAGGTGTTTTCAGAGACGATGATTCTAAGCATCATGGATCCATCATAGATCCTTTTTTTTCTGAATTACATCCTGAAGCACACCATTCCAGCAGCATTCTATGTTTTTCATTAGTTTGATAGCTGAGTTAGAAAGTAGAGTATTTGCTAATCAATGCCTATTATTGTTTAAAAATGGGTTTTTTAAAATTGAGGAAAATGGAAATATTGCTATCTTCACACATGGAATCTCAAGAGGGAGGAGTGAAGGGCTTTACTGAAAAATTTCTATAGAGCAAACATTGTTTTTTAACTATGCTTTTAGTTGCCACTATTCATAGTGAAGGTAAAAATAAGAGTTGAAAGAACTCTTATGATTGAGGTAGCTACAAATCTTTCTTTAGGCTGTACTTTTCTCTGGGCAGGTTTGCATGACTGAACAGATCCTGAATGAATGTGGGAATTGTTTTCCAAAGCAGCATGACTAGAAACCACTTATCCAAGGGTTTTTTTTTTTTAAGGCTTCTGTGTCTTCTTTCCACCTGAACAAGTTAGAAAGGGAGCAAGGTTTTGTTTTATTTTGTTTTGTTTTGTTGTTTATTTTGTTTTTCCATCTTATAGCTAGAAAAAGTTGTCACTCCTCACATTGATGACACAGTAATCTCAAAACGAATCATTGCACTGCAAAAAGTTGCTGTGGTTTCTATAGTTTAATTAATAATAAGCACAAGGGGGATTTGGCCTTACAGACAGCTTAAAAATATTTTAAATAAATGCCAGTTTTCTTAACAGGTGAAAGTTCTATTTGTGAGGAATTTGGCCACTACAGTGACAGAGGAAATATTGGAGAAATCGTTTTCTGAGTTTGGAAAGCTGGAAAGAGTGAAGAAATTAAAAGATTATGCTTTTGTTCATTTTGAAGATAGGGGAGCAGCAGTTAAGGTAGGTAACATTGTTATTAGGCAAAATTGCGTGGCTCAGAACTTAACGAAATATCTTCTTAAAAGCAGACCTTTTTTCTCATATGGAATGAGTTATAATTAGGTGTCTTCTTGTACATAGTTGTGCTACCATTTCCTGTCATTCCTGTGAGTTATTCCTTAACTTTCTAAACAAGAAACATGCTTCTACTATTGTGCTGTCTTTATTGCAAAAATAGTTATGGTTCATAGATCTTCCTACAAAGCAGCCTGAGACTTCCTTTACTTCCCTAGTAAGACTCATAATGTTAATATAGCTTTTTACACACTTGACTCATAATGCTAATACAACTCTTTTACACAGTTACTCCAAGGGTAACCTCTATCCACATCCCCCATTGAACTCAGATTTATTCTAACAAAATATGGGCACAGTTGCATAGGAATGTCCATCTTCCATTTTTATTCCAATAATCAAAGTAATAACTCACTTCTCTATTGTATTGATGGGAAAAAGAATATTAATGGATTAAGATAACTGTTTGGAATTCATGATTCTTTCCTTTTATTGCAGATTAACGTTTGTTAATTCCCTATCTTGGGGTATGTGTCTGTCAGTGGGGAAAGATCAGGTTCATGAAGGTCCAGTTAAATTGATTTATTGCTAATCATGTCTAGGCACAGGAAACTAACAGTTAGCACCTGCTTGAGATTAGATAAGGGTCAACAGAATTCAAGGGAGGTTGGACTTCATTCACTTATGGCTACATAGGGATTATAGGCTGATCCTTCTTTTTAACTCTGCCCCCAGGTTTTGCCACTCCTACAGCTGCTGGGGGACATGTAGGGCTAAATTGGGAAGAAAGGACAAACAATCTATTTTACATTCTTTGCACATTAAAAGGTGTTACAATAGTTATACTGGGGAACTCCAGATTTAAATCCACCATCATCTACCCAAGCTCAGAGGGAGGTTTAGAGTTTATGATTGAGGGAAAAATCAGTGAGGGAGAGAGATTGAGCACCTCTATGGAATGTGGAATATATTAATATTACAGTTTCTATTTATTGTTTTTTAAAACTATTCTTTCTCACAATATGTTTTAGAATTTTTATAAAGCAAATGTTTTAGCTGCAAAATAGCATTTAGAGCCTTGCAACTTCAAATTCAAGGAGAAGGCTTCCATCTCCTGCACTGCTTGCCCCAAAGTTTCTCTTTCCTCTTAGCCTTGTAGGCTCCCAAAAGGCAAGGCGAGAATTGCAGACTTTCCTGTTGCATTGTTTCTTACAAGGGCCCGCGTACTGCATTTTCCTCCCAGGGAAGGTTTGCCGTCTTATTCTGAAACAAAGAACCAAAATGAGAAATGTAGTATGTACAAGTTGGGATTGTGTAGGTTGGAAAATATTTGGACTTGGGAACTGAAAGGTGGGAAAAGCTGAAGAGACATTACGCTCCCAAATACAATTTAAATGTATTTTTTCCTTTCAAAACAGGCCATGAATGAAATGAACGGAAAAGAAATAGAGGGGGAAGAAATTGAAATAGTGTTAGCCAAGCCTCCAGATAAGAAAAGAAAAGAACGCCAAGCTGCCAGACAAGCCTCTAGAAGCACTGCGTAAGTGTTATAACTTCAGTAAACTGAAATGTAGCAGTAAAGGCACAGATTATTATCCTTTCCTCCAGATGGAACAAATTAATTTGCTCAGTCCCATCTTCTAAAATTTACTCCAACTTGTAGCAAGGCTGGAGAATGGTACAAGCTAAGGTGTAATAATTGGTGTACGTCAGTGCCAACAAGAAAAAAAAATCCACGTTTAACTGTTCCTCACATGGGCTGGGGGTGGAGGCCAATTTTGTCAGATGGCTTAGAGCTGCAGCTGTAGCCATCCATCAGTATGTTTAAAAGCAATCACTCCCTTAGCATATCTAGTGTGATCTTCCTGGGGCGTTCAGTGGAGAAAGCAGTAGGCCAGGATCCCTTTCCTCTGTCCTCATCTGCTTTTAAATCTGAAAGGTTATTCTCTTTCTAAACTGGATTCTTTAAATTGAAAAAGACATGAGACAAATATTGAAAAACACACAATAAATATGTTATTATTTTTCCCCCTCCTCACTAGGTATGAAGACTATTATTACTACCCTCCACCTCGTATGCCACCTCCTATTAGAGGCCGAGGTCGTGGAGGGAGAGGCGGCTATGGCTATCCCCCAGATTACTATGGCTATGAAGATTATTACGATGATTATTATGGCTATGACTATCATGACTACCGTGGTGGCTACGAAGATCCTTACTATGGCTATGATGATGGCTATACTATAAGAGGAAGAGGAGGAGGAAGGGGTGGGCGAGGCGCACCTCCACCACCTAGGGGGCGGGGAGCACCACCACCAAGAGGTAGAGCTGGCTATTCCCAGAGGGGGGCACCCATGGGACCACCAAGAGGAGCCAGGGGTGGGAGAGGGGGCCCTGCTCAGCAGCAGAGAGGACGTGGTGCTCGTGGAGCCAGGGGCAATCGTGGGGGCAACGTGGGAGGCAAGAGAAAAGCGGATGGTTACAACCAGCCTGATTCCAAGCGCCGTCAGACCAACAACCAGCAGAACTGGGGCTCCCAGCCTATCGCTCAGCAGCCACTTCAGCAAGGTGGAGACTATGCCGGTAACTATGGTTACAATAATGACAACCAGGAATTTTATCAGGATACATATGGGCAGCAGTGGAAGTAAGATCAATAAGGAGGGCATGGGAATATTGACAAGATAAGAATTTGGCTATAGTTCTACATCCTTCCAAAAATTGGCTTATTGCTTCATCCTTCAATAGTGATTGGCTGCCATGTGTATTGGGCTGAAGAATCACTCTTATGTATATATTCAAGTCTTTTTTTCTTCCTTTTCTCATAAATGCACTTGGACATTACTGAGCTTGCAGATTTCCCAAACATAGTTTGGGGATACGATGCTTTTTATCGTTTTAGGCTTCATTTTAGCAGTTTATCAGCAAGGATGGGCAACACTGTTAAATCATGATTTTGCAAACCTTCTGTTTTTGGACAGTTTCTTTTCTTTCTTTTTCCCTTTTTCCTTTTTGGATTTGGGATAGATTACATAGGCTTCTGCTGTACATAAAGTAAAGCTAGTACTTTGTCTCCATAGTTTTAAGGAATTTAAAAAAAATAAGTTTTCTTGTATTGAAAATAACATGATTGTATGTTTTGCATTCCTAGAAGTAGGTTAACTGTGTTTTTAAATTGTTATGACTTCACACCTTTTTGAAAATCTGCCCTACAAATTTGTTTGGCCTAAACGTCAAATCCGTGGCAATTTGTTCCTTGATGTGATTGTATTTCCAATTTCTTGTTCATGTAAGATTTCAATAAAACTCAAAAACCTATTCAAAACATTACCTATTTCAAATTCCATTGTGTCCTAAAAGATTATTTTATTGGTAATCCTTGCAAGAAACATTAAAAAAAACTGCCTATGTGAGTGATCAAATTCATGAAAAATTCTTGCAATTTCCAACATCTGGCATTGGTGGCATGTGAGTCAGTGCTAGGTCCAGTAAAATCAAATTGAAATATATTAATTGGTACTGTAATCTGGTTGCATTTAACAGTGAATTGGTTGCTTTCTTAACAGCTTTAAATACATCTGAAAACTTGCATTTAAGCTCTTTTTCGGTCAGTTGCGAAAGATATATGTGTATGAAGACAGTCCATAAATTTAATCTATCTCGTATTATTCTTGTGAATCATATCCAAAAACTCCAGCACAATTGGATAATTCTCAACTGTAAAACAGCAATAACATGTTCAGTTTTACCTTAAAGAGACCGATTCAAACAAAGATATGAGATTGGTTGTAAATTTTTAAACAAATGTAAAATTTTGATGCTAAAGATAATATTAAAAAACATTAGATTTTATATCTTGTTGAATGATTTCAAATGCAAATTTCCATTAATTTGGGATATTGCTAGTTTTTTTCTACTTAGGCTATTCCATTCATTTTTTCTGTGAACCATTTTATATTGATTTTTAACATGTTGATTCTCATCTCATGCTTGTTTCATCTGTTGTCTCTGCACTTCTCTAAGTTGCTGTAATGTGCATTTGGGATTTTTTTGGGGGGGAAAATTTATAAGATTGGCCACCTGAATTTTCTTAAATAACCCCTTATTTATGGATTTGCATTTGATTATATCATAGGGAAAATAACAAATAATTGGATAAGAAGTCTTTGACCCTCTTTCAGGCTTTTTCTGTTAGGAAAAATTGGTTTTCTTCCTACATTTTATTGAGGGTCAAGAAGATAATTCCTTGGGTTTGTAATTAATTCATTGACTTGAGAGAAAAAAATGTTTTTGAAAGATATTTTTTGAAAGTCAGCCAATTAGAGTGGGGAGGCTTTTTTTTTTTATAAAAAAAACCCAAAACCCTAAATCTAAACCATGTTTTTTCTAATAGAAACTTATCAATATTATGATCAAATGAAATATTGTGCTGCTAGTCCTATCATAGATGCATTTATTTTTGTCTGAATAAAGTTACAGTATGTATATTCTGAGGCTTATTTGGCTTCATGGCTGGCTTTTAAAGCCTTTTTTATCAATTGTTTATCAGTCAGCCATTTCCCCACCCCTGTTAAATGGTATGCTGATTAATGATATAAACTTTGAGCTTTAAATATATGCCTCAGTGAAAAAAGTCATTAGAAGTTTTTTAATTTTTATTATGGATCATAAAGACTTTCTAGAAAAATAAGCAGCAGTTTTGTATTGATACAAAAACATCTGAGTCAGAATTTAGAAAAAAATTGGACTTTTAATACACACATATTGTTCTGTAATGAGAAATCTTGTGATGTGTTGGTTATTCTTACCAAAATGCTAAGTTGTAAAAATCCTCAAAGCAAATGCAATTTTCTGTACTGTATTTTTAACCTCTGGTAGCCCTTCCAAGTAGCATAACATACATACTTGGCCTAACTTGATTGGTAACACAAACTGTAATTCCACCTGTCCAGTAAATATCATTTTATATTTTAAAGACAGAAGAATATTGTCTAAATATGTCAGTGGTATCCATATTCAGTTAAGAGGCGCTAAAGGCTTTTCAGTTTTTCAGTTATATACAATGCACTATGACTTGAAATGCACATTTTAGAGCCTTTTCTACTAATAACTAAAAATTCAAGTGCAATCCAAAATATATTTTGTTGATCTGTGTCTTGACCTTTCTTCATCAAAGTAATCCAAGGGAAGAAAACTATTATATAAGAATCTCATGCCTTTTTATCTTCAAGATGGGGAGGAATCATGAAATGGGATATTTGATCACTCATTTATAGCAGTTGCTTCAATGTCATTATTGACACCAAGGTGATTTTGGAAAAAAAAAACTGATGCCAGAGTTTTGGTACTTCAAAAACTTTTATCCAAAGATTTATACAAATTCTTAATTGTTTAGATCCCATACTGCCTTGTTAAGTGAATTCCAACTCAAAAGTTAACCAACTTGCTGAGAACCATTCTTCATGAAAGGAAATGTCTAAAAACTTTTAAAGGTTTAATCATTGTTCTAGACTTATAGTTTCTTTGGTAGATTTGGGATTTTTTTCTAAGTGAAGATACCAACTTTAGTAACATAAACTGTTTGAAAATATTTCTTCAGAATTTCTGTTAAAATCCAAAAGAATTGGAAGGACATAAGTTTAACAATCCACTGTGAATGACTGCCTCATTTATCAAAGCCTGTTTATATTTTCACCCTCTGCATCTGTATGCCTTTCTTTGAACTCATTTGCATTTTAAACATTAAAAACATGCTTATATAAGTAAGGCTATAATGAGCAAAGTGAGGAAATTATGAAAATATTTTCATATACAAGGGAGATCTTACAATTGGAGTCTTTAATGCAAAACAAATCTTGAAACTTCATTATGGCTTTTTTGCCTTGGCTGTGCATGATTTGGTTTCTTGTAATTGCGAACTAATGAGCCAGAATTGCATATAATCTCTCAATTTAAATTTGGATCTTTTGTGCAAGAAGTATTTCATAAAATATTAATATAGACAAAACTAAGGTTTGTCTCTGAATTGGATTTTTAATACCTCAAAGTTTTGTAAGACCAGAATTACAGGCTGTGATTCCCATTTCTCTCAAAATGGGGGCTTCTCTTAACTTAGGGCAAACACATTGAGCTCTTTTATAATAGCAAATTTGATAGTCTTACTAAATACAGATTGGCTCATCAAGAGGCATGTGATTTTTGTCCCAAGAGGCATACCGTTGGAATGGAAAAACTATTAAGACTGTAAAAAGGAGGTTACCAGAAGCTCTGAATGACCATTCGGAATATATTGCTCTATCTACATTTTCTAATGTTATCCAGAAATCTGCCAGTGTAACTTCTGTTTTAACTCCTTCCTTTTATTACCTGACTATCAGGGAAGCGTGGTTGAGGCTGCCCTGACTTGACATGTCACGATGTCGACTTGCTAGGTGGGGTTCGCAGGGACAGTAACCATTGGAGTTATCGGTAAGAGAATTTTCTTTCTCATTTTTATTTCAAAATAAGAGCCTGCCCTCCCTCCGCCCCCCCGGGGGGGGTGATGGTATTGCTACTTTCCTCTCCTTCAGGGATTTTAAATCATTTGTGGGGAAGGGGTCTTTTTCTTTTTTATAGATGCCTGGCTAATTGCACGCGAGAGAGGTGAGTTTGAATATGATCCTGTCAATTATAACAGATGCGTAGATTTGAGTAAGTGCCTAAGGGTATAAGAGGAAGATTCTTCAGGGGTCTCTACTTCACGTAAAAAGAGGTTTTGTGAAACACAACTAAGGCTGAAGTGTACTGTGCTGACATGTTTACCCTTTCCCCAATATTTGAAATATTGGAAGCATGAGTAGGAAAAGAGCTGTCATCACATTAAGCTCTGATCCTAGTGAGATTGTTTCATAATAATCCCATTATTCAAATAACACAAAATCCAATGACTGGTTGTCCTTGACTTATGATCACAAGATGACCCCAATGTTTTCCGTTGCTAAGCAAGACAGTTAAATGAGTTTGGTCTCCATTTTACAACCTTTCTTGCCACAGTTGTATAACACCACTGTCCCTCCTCCCCCTTTATTTTGTCATGTTTTGAATGTAACTTGGTCACAAACATCACTACTTTCAGTTAGATAGTTAAAGAGACTTAAAGCAATTATAAGCCGAATATAGTATAGTTTTCAAAAGTGACCTTGGCTTTATTTTTTTCCCAACAAACCATAGGAAAACATGTATGATATTATATCAAGAATGATAGTAAAAGTTTTTAAGCCAGTCATATATTTTATTTATAAAACTCTTCTCCTATTTGCCCCTCAATAACAACAATCCTTTGAATTGGGTTGGGCTGCTTTATATTTGTCTAGTGGATTTTGAATATGTCTATGTATAAGGTATCTTTTTATTCCAATGAATGATGGGCTGCATTCTCACTTTGCACTAAGTTACGATTTTACTAAATATAGTTTATTGAATGAACCATAATCAATGGGGCTAATATATTACCTCAGGGATATAAATCATGATTTACAAATCACATGGCTGTTTTCATCAAGTGTCCTGTGTCACAAATAAGCAAACCGTATTTTTGTAACATGATATACAATTCTGTTGAGAAAAATAGTTTAAGCATTGGCATTTCTAGCATATTTTTACCTCTTTGGCTATTTCAGCATATACATTCCTGAATTATCTTCTCTGGGGATAGAACCAGTGAACAAGTTTGCGCTGAGGCATTTCAAAAACACTTGAATTATTACACAAGTGTTCTGTTTGAAAACAAAAAAATAAAATTAAATCTCTGGAGGATCACTGATCTGACTTCTAGACATTCAAGTACCTCTTCTCCCCAAACTAAAACGAATGCTTACCATAAGCATAGTAAATTGGTGTTGCAGTAGTTGTAAATCTGGGTGGAAGAAAGATAGACTCTCCAAGTGTTGATAAATTGCATTCTGAGTTATCGGCCACCAATGAGGAATGTTAGGAGTTTTTCAGCAACATATAGAGCAGGGGTCTTCAAACTTGGCAACTTTAAGACTTGTGGAGTTCAACTCGAGAATTCCTCAGCCAGCCAGCGATGGCTGGAGAATTCTGGGAGTTGAAGTCCACAAGTCTTAAAGTTGCCAAGTTTGAAGACCCCTGATATAAAGGTCTGCATATTTCTAATCCTGGAGATAAGCACATTTTGGAATGAATCAATGGTACAGCTTCCTTTTTAAATAATTTGGAATAAATTATTTTGTTTTATCGTGGTGGTGGGTAATCACTTGATTTTTCTCTTCTATTTTTATTTTCACTTTCAGGCAAATTATTTTAAAAAACTTCTTTGCAAATGGACTGAATGGATAAATTATCAACTACAGTTTCTGGTTACTTCAGAAATCAGAGACATGCCAACAGAAAGACCAAGTACAGGTGGTTTTTCCACCTTAAACACTGTGACCTCTTTAATTAAATTCTCCCAAATAAACTGAAAATTATAACTTGTATGAACACCTTTCATCTGACCTTTTCATTTCAGCTTACTTAATAAAGACTGGAAAAAAATTCTCTAAACAGGCCATTCAAATTTCCATATCCATTTGGCATTGTGTTCTTTTCCTACTGGAAATATTACCATGGCAGATGGTTTCCCTAATTCCTGCTGACTTAAATGCTTTGCATATAGTACTTGAAAATTCCAAATGTATCATCAATGCAAATTTAAATTCTTATCCAATGCAAGTTTCTGCAAGTTTTCAAATATTTTAATATATACTGACTTTTGCTTTCTTGAAAGCAGTTGCACCTTATCCCCCTTGGTAATTATCCAGAATTAGGATTAAGGTTTTTAATATGTGTACAGAAATTCCAAAACATACTACCGTATTTTCCGGAGTATAAGACGACTTTCTAAACCATGAAAATCTTCTCAAAAGTCGGGGGTTGTCTTATACGCCCAGTCATCTTATATGCCGGAAAATACGGTAGGTTCATATCTACTGGAGTTTCTAGATTGCATTTTTGGAACCTGGTGGGTTGTTGTTTTTTTAATGCTTCGTTACAATGGGTCAACTTGGATAGTTCACAGAAGCCCAAGTAAAGCAAGTTTAGTCTTAATATTTAATCAAGCTTCTATAGTCTAGCAATAATTAGGAGAACAAGAAAAGTTTGCATCTCTACAAAAATGACACATCATAGTATTAATAGTGATACCAAGATGTGGTTAATTGCGCTATTCATTGTGAGATACAAACATTGTTAATTTTATAAGATATGTTTGCTTGGAAGTGTTTACTTTTGCATTTCTAGTATCCAGAGACAAATTACATCTTTTTATCAGCAGACTGATTAGTCATTTGTGTATTAATCTGTCAGCAAATTCTCAATTTCAAGTGTTTAACTGCCTTATTAAACATACATTAAGATTCTATTTTACATGGTCACGTACAAGCCACTTTTTAGTTATACTTAGATCTACCCATTGAGATTTATTTATAGTGTCAATTCAGCTCTTGGAAGAACTCACCCTAGCTGGTATCCAGTTGCTGTCTCTCTGAGAAGAAGAGATCAGCAAATCAATGGAGCATCTCATATTAAAAGGTAAAAAAAAGTTATTATAAAATTATGTTATGCAACTAAGAGAGATTTGATAAATGGGGAAGGAGACGCCAATCCCCCCAACACTATAAGGAACTCATGCTTTATTCTGCTACCAAAAAAAACGCTAAAACATTTCTAGAACAAATGAAATTATTTTTTCTCCAAAATCTATATTAAATTGATTTCTGTTGTTCAAATTCAATAGGACTTGCTCAGTGGGATTATGTCTCAGTTTCTGTCCTTGGTATGTGTATGTAAAGGATTTTAGTTGGACTGGAAATGGTCTGCTGCTGAAATACTAGAATACTGTCACCAGACATTCAATAAATAATGCTAAACTTGGTAGACCACAAGGTCAGACTCATTAGAATTTGTTTCATATGTTATATTCAGTGGGGTTATATTTTGTTTAAGGAAAAGTAAATAAGTAAGTACAATCCTGTCATTTCCTCTAGAATACATTCTCTCATTGCATCTTTTTCTAGTTATAGTCCCCATGAGTTGATTAGGATTGGCATTTTCCAGCTGAATGTCAATAATTTCACTGCTTTCAGCAATTTACATAAGCAGGTTGAAATTCTCAAAGGATAGTTTTCTGTGAGAAAAATCAAAACCCTTTTCAGCTAGGGCAATTAATGTTGCTGATTTTCAAATCTGGGCAAATCAGATATGATTAACATTTATGAGTAATGTATCTATATAGAATAAAACTATATTTCTGGAACAGTCATATTTTATAAATAAAATACAGTGTTCAGCACTTGGTTATTTGAAATGCACCCTAAAAACCAAGAATAAAACAAGACCAGAAATGGAAAAAACAGGCAAAGCATGTCAACATATAGGTAGTCCTCAATATACGATCGTAATTGAGTCCAACATTTCTGCTGTTAAGTGAGACATTTGTGAAGTGAGCTTTGCCCCATTTTATGACCTTCCTTGCCACAGTTGTTAAGTGAATCACTGCAGTTGTTAACTTAGCAATACAATTAACTGAATATGGCTTCCCGTTGGTTTTGCTTGTCAAAAGGTTGCAAAAGGTGATCAAATAATCTTGGGACACTGCAACCATTATAAATATGAGCCAGTTGCCAAGAGTCTAAATTTTGATCACATGACCAGGGGAGTGCTACAGTGGTCATAAGTGTGAAAAACAGTCATAAGTCACTTTTTTCTGTGCCGTTATAACTAAATGAACTCTTGTAAATCGAGAATTACCTATATTACCAATAGCATTTAGACTTAAATACTACTTTGGTGTTTTACAGCCCTTTCTAAGCAGTTTATGGAGTCAGCCTATTGCCCCCAACAATCTGGGTCCTCATTTTACCGATCTTGGAAGGATGGAAGGCTGAATCAACCTTGAGCCGGTCAGAAACAAACTGCTGATCATCAACAGAATAATTAGGAGATAATGAAGTTGCAGTTTCAGTCTTCTATGGCTCTCTGCTTTCATTAAACAACATTCTAGGACAGACATGTCAAACACAAAGCCCTGGGGCTGGATGCGGCCTGCGATGTGGTTTCATGTGGCCCACGAAGCCATTCTGGAAACAGTGAGGGAATGGCTCCCGCTGCCTTGGCCCTGGCCGCCCAGGAGCCAATGTACAATTTTGTGATAGCCATCTATGCTGAAACACATTCAGTCTTAGCTCCACAAGGCAGTCTGGAAACAGCGAGGAACCAGCACCTGCCGTGTTGGTCCCACCCCCTGGGCGCACGCTGGGGAGGTGTCACCCTTTGTGAGGAATGAAAAAATGCACCATCGCCTGGAAGTGGCCAGCAAATGGCCCTTGCCTACTTCACATATCCGACTTGATGGGCTCCCAGCGAGGGGTTTCGGCAGGCTCTTCCAGTGGACCATGCCTTGGCGCTTGCCCTGGTCCCACCCCCTTCTGCCAGAGACCCTCAGATCTGTCCCACTCTTGCCGAGGCCCCCACAGGCACCCTTGACGCAAACAACGTAGAGCTGGCCATGTCCACCCAGTAGGCCACACCCACCCTGGCCACACCTACCCCCCTCCCTGAGGACAACCGCAGTGCTGATGTGGCCCTCAATGAAATTAAGTTTGACACCCCTGTTCTAGGATATCCTAGAAATTGTCGTAGTGTATGCCCCCCCCAATATTGATCATGTGCACACACTCTACCATCCAGTACTTTATATTCCTATTCATGTATCAGTGAAAGTGAAAAGTATATAAGGCAAACATGTAAAAGTGGATTCTATGTCATCACAAAAAAACAGTTCATGCTTCCTTTTGTCTCAGATAGTTTTTTTTTTAAATTTGCTCCCAGACAGCTACGGTATGACAGAGAATATTCATTTATTTTTATCTTGTCTTTATTTTTTATCAATAACTCAAGGTAGCAAACATACTTAATGCTCTTTCCTCTTCCTGTTTTCCCCACCATAATAACCCCACAAGGTGGGTTATAATCTATAAATGTTTTGTTTTCAATGTAAAGTATATGCATTTTTTACAAACATACAGAACATTACAGGTAACGGCACACAATCTAGCATGAAGAAAAAGCAGGCAAGAAAAATGAGAAAGTAACAATTAGGAGGAGTAAACATTTAAAAAGAACAAAAACAAAGCAGCATATATTTTCCACCTTAAGCAATGCATTAAAAACTCAGAAGCCTCTCCTCTGATAAAACCATTGCAAGAGCAATGAAAAGGCATATAACACTAACTTAGCTCCATATTGAATCCTGGTAGCTTCAGTCTATGAGATTGTAGCAGATACCTCCTTGAAAACTCCAACTCTGTTGTGTTTTGGCTATAAAAAAGGAAAACCCCATATTTTGAATTATTAGGAGGGGTTAGGGAAATAACTGGATATGTAGAATGCCTTCCCATAGATTTACAGAGAACATATTTATGGAGCAGCATTTTTTTCTTAAGAATATCAGGCAGCTGGAAAGTGTAATTAACAACACAATCTCTTAGATGCTTATTCAAAATTAATAGTGGGGTGGCTTTTGTTAGAAATGGAAAGCTGAAGTAAATGGATTGTTCATCGGATCCAGCTGGCTGTTCTTGAATTATAATTAAGGCTCAAGCATCTGTGCTGCTTATTATAAATAGACAGTAGAAGAGTGGTAGATTTTGTGTTAGAAGTTGCTTCCATGGGAAAGAAGTAGAGTTCTTAAATAAGTAGAAAAAGCAATGCAAGGAGAGCCTACTATGAACTACATCTCTCACCATTGCTTACCATTGGCTGTAGTGATTGGGATGCTGGGAGGTAAAGGCAGAATCTGGTATAAACCCATTTGGTTGTTTTTTTTTTAATGGAATTTTATATATGAAGAACATGACAAATGAAACTCTTTTCCGGGTTCCTTCATATTCTGAAGTAATTGCACAGAATGATCTTTTTGAATCTTGCTGTGTTGGTTGCGACATATCTTTATAAAGGATATCAAGTAGTTTTGGAAGAACACAGACTTAGCTACCATATTTCTGACCATTACACCAACTTCTGAATTGACTTCTAATGCACAGATGCTCCTGGTGAAGAGTAATCCCATTATCACTATATTTATATCTGGAAAGAAAGATTGAAAACTCCCAGCTCTGTTGTGTTTTGGCTATAAAAAAGGAAAACCCCATGTTTTGAATTATTAGGAGGGGTTAGGGAAATAACTGGATATGTAGAATGCCTTCCCATAGATTTACAGAGAACACATTTATGGAGCAGCATTTTTTTCTTAAGAATATCAGGCAGCAGGAAAGTGTAATTAACAACACAATCTCTTAGATGCTTATTCAAAATCAAACAGTTTAATTAAAAGCTGGCTGATACCATACATACTTATCCTACATGAGAGTAAGGCTTCCTCCTCCATTTAGCTCATTCAAGTCAAATCTTTTGTTGACGATCTAAAGAATAAACAATGGTCAAGGCTTCCAGAGAAAGACTTGATGGTGTTTCTTGTCTAACATTATTTTTTTCTTCCTGATAAGAAAGGAAACATCCAAGTTAGCAAGATGAGATGAGTTGTATGCATTTCTTTTCTCTCCAATTACAGTAATTGAATAATACATCTAATATTTGAGGGTGAATAGGCTTGAAATTTTTGCTTAAATATAAAAAGATTTTTTTCCATTTATTGTGTCTGAGTCTTGAAGACTGCCTGGCAAGTCCCTGCAGTGTACTTTGCAAGCTTTTTCAAAAGTGGCTTGCCATTGCCTCCTTCCTAGGGCTGATGAAGTGACTGGCTCAAGTCATCTAATTGGCTTCATGCGCAAGGCAGGATTAGAACTTGCAATATCCTGGTTTTTAACCTTATGGCTTAACTGTTACACCAAACTGACTATCCAATTTGGTGAGCTTCCTTTGTATTATAAATTTTTACATTATAAAGCTTCTTTTGTTTTAATTAACTTTTAGTTTTTTTATGTGTAAGGAAGGGGGAAAGAATTATTAAACAAATGATATTCATATAAATGTTTGCAATGAATTACTTTGGGTTTTTTGGAGCATAGTCCCAATATACCACTCAAGAAAAAAGCAAGCATGAATCTTGGTACATAAAATTGTGCTCCCTATTGTAATGGTTACTTTTATAATAAAAGTTTATTTTTAATGAAAGAGTTAACTCCTATCAAATTTGCATGCCGTGAAAAAAGCCCAGTAACTGCCTTTCAGACTTGGACAAGTAGAGCAGCACTTGCACGTAAGAAGAGAAATTACGGTATGTGGGGTTTTTTTTCTTTTGTGTTTTCTTTTGGTGAAGGTATATATCAAATCTGTAATGTATCAAATAATGTATTAAATTTATATTTAATGAAACTTCACTGTGAAGGAGTGAAGGAAAGTTTTAAAATTCTGGCTGATGAGCTCTATGCTTGTTTCAGACACAAATGTGGCATCTCATTAAATGGCAGCAATGACTTTATCCTATTATCTGCCTACTTAAAGAAAAATAAAAGCATGCAGAGTAACTCACATTTTAAAATGCATAAGACTTTGTGACAGAGGCAGAAATGCAAATACTCTGTCAAGAGAGGGGGTCTAGGGCAACTCGACGGGGCCATCTTGCCACAGGACAATCTTTAGGGGATAACTCAATGTGATAAACGTTATCTGCCACTGTTTTTTTCTACATTATTTCCATTTTTGTCAATGAAAATGTCAAAGAAACAGTGGCCGATAATTATCGCATTGAGTTATTCCACATGGATTGTCTTGTGGCACAATGGCTGAGTTATTCCGTGAGGAGTTGTCCTGTGGCAAGTTGGCGTCCCATTCAGTCAAGAGAATGGATAACTTTAGTACATTCTAGATCTTTTGGATCTTTTTGCTGACTCACGAATTCTGGGAGTTGAAGTCCACAGGTCATAAAGAGACCATAGCTTCCCATCCCTCCCTAGAGCATTGCCATGCAAACTAGTGTTTATGACAGCTTTTCCCAAGCTGGTGCTCATCATTGTTGGAAGGTGGAAAAGGGGGTAGGAACCGTCCCTCCATCAAAGGTATGTCTTATGCAGCTGGGGAAAACCATCTCCGTTCACCCTTGGTGGAACTTCTTTCATCTTAGATAAAATTGATAAGAGCCAGGTTCAGTCTTCATGACCGACCAAAATTAAGTTAACAGAAGCCATTGTTTAGAAAAAGGCACTTTTTCCAAACAACTGGCTTCTAAAGAGGCAATATGCACAGCATCATGTACTTTCTAATGAGATATATTTGATCAATAAAACTCATTGTTGCAATTTCTTGGTTAACGCCTTCTAAATCTGGTGCTATGTAATCAAATAGAGGTCAGTACACGGAGAATTCTGCAGATTTGTCATAAAGCAAATTCAACACAAGTATATTTTGTTAGAGGTAGAAAATTTTATTTAAGAAAGTCAGATGCTTTATATGGTGCATTTGGCTTCTGTTCCTGCATTACCTATTTATATTTTCCAAATAATTCATTTAAAGCTTGAGTGGAGTATAAATTTGGTTTGAAGTTAGATAGCACTTAATTCTTGTAACAAATGGTGGACTTCCTAAAAACCATGAACCTTTCCAGACCATTCAGGCTTTCTTGGGTACTTAGCAAATTTATTGAAATAGAAAATATTACCATTTTCTGATGTAGTAAAATAAACTCACCAAATATAACATTTTGTTGTAATATTGTGATATAATGTCATTAATCCTGATTTCCTACTGAGAATTCATTGGAAGGTTGGGTTCTAGTTTTTGAAACAAAAATGTTAAAAATACATTGCAACTTTGCAGTTTTCCACATTTCCACATAACAACAAAACTACGAGTGTATCCAATTAACTTTTCTAAGCATTCTGGAAAATAAATAGAACTAAATCTCTTACTATTTGAACATCATCACATTTTTATTTAAAATTTACTTTCTGCATACAGTTGGATTAAGATCTTGGATCAGGTTTCTTTCTTTAATGGCAACAATAATGATAAATGTCTTGCTTATGCTGTGAAATGTCCTGACATTTCAGAAGTATCAAAAGGGACAGCCAGAAGGATCCCTTGGGGATGCGATGCTGTGGTGGAAACAGCTTCCCTTTCATTTGGGATAATGGCAACGCCAGAAAGATGACTTCATCATCCAGACCTGGGAAAATCAGTGGTGAGTTAGCCTGTTCAGTTGATCTCCTCCTGTTTTCCTAAGTGATTATGGAATCCAGAAACCTGAGGGACAAGGACAGTCCCATCTATGAGCAGCCATATTCCCAGCCATGAACTTAAAGTTAGTTGTGGCAGGACAACAGAATTAGGGTGCCCAGGTGCTAAGAGGCCCCAAAAGCCAATTTGCCAAATCCCTACCTTCAAAGTCAAGAGCTTGCTGTTGAAACTGGCTTGACCGCTCTCTTCAGACAAGTGAGTAATGTCAACAGATAGCCTTGTTATTTTACGAATACTGTTTCAGAGGTAAAGAACAGGCACAGAAATAAGGAAGAGATGGGGCTTGGGATGTGAAGAAGAATTTGCTTAAGCTCCCTTGTCCAAGACGTTCTTTCCCAGCCTGGTGTTTTCTAAATGTGTTGGACTTCAACTCTTGATCAGCTAACTCAGTGGTCTCAATATTTATGGAAATCACCAGACTGGCAAGGCTAGTCTGATCAGTATTAATCTAATACATTATAACAGTGGACAAATGAGGGCAAATATTACTCATCCTCACTTAAAGGCACATCCTGTATAATTACATTTGTTTTACATACAAATGCATGTTATTTGTATCCAAAGCGGGCTTTGGACTTTCCTGATCTTGCCCTGTAGCTGAACAAGATTAGGAAAATACATATATTTTTCCTGAACCCATGTAGCTCTTATGGAAGGAAGAACTAACTGGTTTAAGGTATATAACAAGGATACGTAAGCCAGATGTGAAGCATCTTTGTCTAATTTGGATCCATGTCTTGTAATTGTCCAGCATACAACCATGCAGTTGGGATTCTGGAAGGTTTGGGGTAACTTGTGGCCTCTCAGGATCAGTTCCCCATTAGAATAAAAATCACGTGTCTTGCAGATGTGGGAAATGTGCCAACCTACTTGGGTTGCAGAAAGCTTTGAACCTGCTTGAATGTTGCCAAGTAAAAAGGTGAGAACTCCCCTCTTGCATATCTAGACAAGCACTCAGAGAGGCAGACAAGTACCTTTCTTCCTGATTATACAGGCAGAGAAAACATTTTTATCTTTTTTTTTAAGGGAATTTACCCTGAAGTGGTATGATCCCCATTCTCCACCATTTATCATATGTATCTTCTCAACAATCTGTCTTTCCTCCAAGAAGGAGATGTGTGTGTCCTGTGATAGTTGAAGGAGAAATATTTAGGTCACTAGTCCTAGCTAGAGGTTAATTATGATCAACTGCAAGACAGCAGCAATTCCCTTGCCAAATAACATCTCCTGTCAGGCTTGTGGGTCCATGTGTTAGGAGGATGGTGGGGGTGATACATAGGTGCCAGAGCCTGTTCTGTGGACATGCAGATTATGTGGAGCAGCCTATGTGAATAGACTGCTATTACCGTCCTCCCACAAGTTTTGTCCTTGAGCTTATCTTACTCGTTAGAATTAATGAAACAAACAGGACATGTAACTGGGCTGTTGGCCTTCTTCAACATATTACCATTTGAGTTGCATGTTAATTTATAGCACAATAGAGGTTTGCCAAATGCCAGCTAGGTAGAATAACCACAGCAAAGAAAGTAATTGTTGAGAAACCACTATGCTTTTTTATTGGTTTATGCCCTTTTGTGTTGTAAATGGATAGTTTCCCTTTAAATAAATACTGTTTTTGAAAAGTTTATGCTGTTCGTGTGGGTTTTTTCTTCCTAAGAGTCTGTTCAGAGAACATTGCAAAGGTACACAATGTTTTTCTATTGCTGATGCTCAGTTACTGTGACATAGCTTCCTGGATTAAAAACAACAACAAGCTGTGCATAAAGCAGAGCACTCCTTAGAGGAAGATGAAGTGACCTGTGGCATTTTTGAAGTAAAGAAAACCATTGTACAATCACCTCTTAAAGCCTGGGTCTTTTTTTTTTTTTTTTTTTTTTTTTTTTTTTTTTTTTTTTTTTTTTTTGGAATGAGTCAACTGTGTTCTTACTAGAAAATACAAAGTAAGTTTGCTTACATTATGCACAGAAGTGGCAATAGCCCAGAAATTATGTCAGGAGAGAACTAGGTGTATTATCCAAAAAATACGGAGAGACAAGAATTTGTGGCACCTTAATCTAAAGTATAAACTTTTTTGTATTGTGGTCCACTTTGTCAGATTGTCAACAGGCAGAAGCCAGTTCAATTGCACTTCAGTTGCTTTGCATCTGTTTATGTCATCCTTTTCTCCAGCAGCCTAAGATTTGATTTCTCTCCTTTTCTCCTCACATTGTATCGCCACCAAAACCATTTGGGGAACTTCAGCTGAAGAGTAGCTAATAAATATATTAAAAAATCACACTCTTGAATTATACAAAACCAGAGAGCTTTTCATTTCCTGTTTCATATCCAGGGAGAATGCAGTAGGAATACATTTAGTTTTTCCAGCAAGTTAAATGGGGGTGGGAGCTGTTCCCTTTAGAACAGTTTAATTTTCAGAGAAGTAATAGAACTTGCACAATTCTGTACAAGGTAAAAAGGAATTAATTTCCCTCTTTCTGAGAATGTTTTCTTAAAGCTCTACTATGGCACCAAAGAGATACAATCCATTGGGGGGGGGGATGTTTCATTTAAGCAAACATTCCTATATTGATGTGACACTTGTGTGCCTGTTTTAAATTACAGTTCTTCAGAAAACCTAATTAAAAATTGTTGAGGTCTTTGGATACTCAATGACTTTGAGCTGAGAATGACTTTTGTTCTTGTGCAATTGGGGAGAAAGGAGACAGTGATTATTGAGGCAGCAAGATTGCTCGTGACTTGCTGTCAGAAGCTGGAAACAGAATCCTTTGCTTTGGTGAAATGTCCTTTTCTGCCTTAAAAGATAGGAGTTATCACAAATTCTGTGTTCAATGTGAAAGGAACAGCATGCTTCTAAGAACCAAGGCTTTTTTTCCCAAGAGAACAGAAAAATTTCACTGTACATTTTAACTCTTCTGGACATTAAAATAAAAAGTTTCACTATAATTTAAAAAGATACAAAACAGATGGTAGCCATTCAGAAGTACTATCCCTTGGGCCACTAGATAGCAGTATACTGTAAAAAAAATGCTGCTTTTCTCCTGAATAATTCAGGGGTGTTCATTCCTTTCAACCATTTCTGCATATGGTTGGGAGTCTGAAAATCTTCATACTGAAAGCAGGCCTTTTATTTTTAAGCATAGTCATCTGTGCATGCTTTTCCCTGTTAGTTTCTGCCAATTGTCTGCCAGAAGCATTCACAACAGCTGTTTATAAAAAGAACCATCTATTAGGCCACTGCAGGAAAGTTAATTGAAATCAATATATTTGGTGGGGCTTGTTCTATTTTGTTTAGCTGTGTTGAACAGCAGTCTTCCACTACTTGCAGTCCCCACCCTGTAAAATCTGCCCTGGATGAGAAGCATTTGCACGGAGTTGAATTCAAGCAAAGGGTCTTATCTAAATATATGTAAGTGTAGATTTAATGGTGTGACTATCACATACATTAAAAGAGACCAAGTGAATAGCAGACACGAAGAATGAATCTCTAGTGTGCCTGAAAATCAGTTTGTGCCATCTTTATGAATAAACACACTTGAGCTCCAGTTAATTTAACTTGGGGTCCACAAGTAGATTTCAGATGATTTTGTGAATGGGGAAAAAAATCACTTTAGTTTCACTAACCTATAACCAAACTTCAACTGGAAAGGGGTCCATGACACAAAAAGGTTAAGACAGTGTTTCTCAACCTTGACAATTTTAAGGCATGTGGACTTCAACTCCCAGAATTCCACAGCCAGCAAAAACACTGGGTTAAGAACTTCTAATTTAAACAGGGAGGGTGAATTTTAACAGGTTATAAAATGGAGTCTTCCATATCATGAGTTGTAATTGCTCCACAAACCTCTTTAATTCCTACCTGCTAAAATGAGCCCCTCACCTAATGTGAAGTGTTAGTGTGCACTTAACCTTCACAGATGAAATGGGAATTTCCCTTACACCATATTTAGGCAGTCTTGGTGGGATGGGGTGGGACTGAGCAAAGAATTGAGAAAAATTGTTTTTTCTGGGTTTTTGTTCTTTGCTTTTATACTACATTAAATCCTACTCCCATCTTTTCTATCTCAAAATGACAAACATTCATCACCAATGTTTAGCAATTGTCAGAGGAGGCTTTGAAGGCCATGAAAAATAAATTTGAGGCATCAATCTTAGGGCGTTGGATGTGCTGACCTAGTTCTATAACATTTGCATCAAGGGTTGCCCTCACAGCCATTTAGCTTTTTAGATAAATATTAGTAAAGAACAATCACTGATAAGTCAAGAACAGCTAGCACTTAAATGAAATCGGCTGACCTTACTATTTTCTCAGAATAGGTGTTGTTGGCCTATGATATGGGAAAAGCTAAGCGTGCCTGGGTCTTTGTGGGTTTGAGCACATAGCTTTGGAGAAAAGAGACTGCCTTCATTAAAAACAACTAGGTTGTTGCTTAGCCTCTGGTTAGATCAGTTCAGATAAGGTCTGTATTTAATATTGGTGAGAGGGGAGGGCAGATCTGAGAACCTCCTTAAATGGACTGGCCAGATTACATATTTGGTGACAACTGATTTAGGGAGGGAAGGTTCATAATAAACTTTTATGAACATTCCCTCCCTAAATCCATTTTTTAGTATGGATGGTGTAGGAAAATGACAGGAAACTGTTTTCAGTGTTCAGCAATCATGGTGGATAAATAAGGCCTCTGAGATTTAGGGATCATGCCTCCCAAGCGTTCATGGCAAACTTAAAAAAATAAAACAGTGAAAGGAAGCAATCAGCTGCTTTTGCTCAAAAGTAATTCATTAAAAATCTGGTGATGGATAAAAAATGTTAAAAATCTCATCAAATTGCCTGGATAGGACTGAATGTTGACAGGGTTAATTCAGACTGATAATTTCTCTACCCTCAAAGAATTTGTTGCAAGTTTAGCATCAACTTTCTTTATTTTTAGCAAGCTCTCTTTGTTTTTGTTTTTGTTTTATAAAAAAAAAGCTTGTTCCAACATAACACAGTATGTGTGATTTTTCGTCTTTCTTTAGCATGATAATTTCTGTGCCCAAAATGTACATAACCATCTCACTGTGAGCACAAGCCATGCTGATAAATTCCAAAATTAAGCTGGTGGATGTGTTCACAGGAACAAACGCAAAATTACACTGAATTCTCCTTGAAAACATAGTTTGGAGTAAAGCTTTTGGGTTGAGTGCAACATGAAGGATATTTATTTCTGATTCTTTTATCTACTGTTATTACCCATTTAAAAATATTTTAGAGTGCATGTATATCTGTAGAAGAAGGCAAACACTTAAGACTTTTATTATTACTCTTTGAAATATATTCATATATTCATTCTTTCCTTCAAACATTTATCTTTTCATCTTGTATACCATTTCTTCTTTATAAAAAAATTCATAAAATATCTTTTCTGTCTTGTGTCAGCAGAAAGCCCATTAAGCCTTGCCAGATTTAACATCTTTTTTAACCTTGATCAAATAAATCAATTTTATATTCCTTCTAACAGTTTTAATCTTTAATTCATTCAAATATTGTGGGATTTTATTTTATTCTTTGTCCCACTCCATAGAGTTATTCAAGGCTTTGGTAAGTAAACCCACTAGGAAAAATGTATCCAGGTCATTTGTGGTTTGTCATTTATATTTCTCTTTTAAATTTTAAAATGTCAGGCAGTTTCTTACGTGGAAACATCCTTTTTTAAAAATCATTTTCTTAGCCAGCAGGTTGTAAATCCACATTCAGTATCATCTCCATTACTGATATTGTTGATATCAGGTTACTATTTTCTGATTCCATTCCTCAAAAGTCCTTTGGTATTTTTATTATTATGTTTTGCAATATTTTCCTCTACCTAAAAACTTTAGTCTCTCCAGTGTCCAATTTTTGAAATCATGGAAACCACTCTCCTGTAATCTATTCATGAGGAGCAGCCATCCCGGACACACGAGGGAATCCTCTCATTATCTCTGATATGTCTTACAAAACTCAAAACAATCCATTTCCCACAAGAAGCTAATTTTTCTTTATAATTAATTCCAAAATCTTATTGTAAAAGTTTCAATATTCCAGTGTTATCTGAACCATTAGTCTGCTTATAATTTTCTTAGATCAAAATCAGATTTATTCAGATTTTTTTTAAATTCTTAAGTTTATGATTAAAATGTTCTTTCATTCTGAATTGAAGGCAGATTCATTTGGCATTTTCAAACTTTTTGTTTCAAAGGCATATTCATCTGGCATTTTTTTTTATTGAAAATTTTTATTTTTTAACATACAAACATTATAAAAATACAATAAAATTTTAAAGTAAAATAAATTCATAAGCAACCATTGTCTATACTACCTTTACCCCCCCCTTACCCTCTCTCCCACCCCCAACCCCCCTCCCTTCACTTCCCAGAGCAGAATACAGGGTTAATAATAACAAAATTTATAATAATAAAAAAAGAAAAGAAAAAAAATGTCATAATTAACCTTTAACTCCATAACCTATAAAACAATTCTCTATAATATTTAATATTCATTCATAAAATAAATGAAACTTTTTAATTCCATACTTTTTCTGAATATAGTCTATCCATCTTCTCCATACAATAATATATCTTTCTTGTGTATGATCCTTTAAATAAGCAG